ATCAGTCTTAATAGTGCTCTTGACAGAGCTCATCAACGAACATTACATCTCCCCCCGACACTTCGATGAGGTACAAGGTGGAAGAGAAGAAGAAGAGAAGAAGATAAATAAATGCAGAAAATTCAAGTCCGCACCTTTTAGTTATTAAAATCTTATATCTAGTATAAGGTAGTAAAACTGTCCAAAGGTGCATAGGCAGATGGTGGTACACCCTGGGTATTTTTGTTCTTCTTCTGGTGATAGCTTTTTTAAGATATACATTTTTTATAAAAGCACTATTGAAATAGACACTGAAGAGTACCAACATATTTATTCAGACAATTTATGGTAAGTGATGGCACATGTTTTTCTAGAAGTAGAAAGATAGAAGCTTATTTTCATAGCGAGAGAATTGTGCTTGTTTCCATAGCGAGGTGCACATGCTGCTTAGAGGGGACAGGTTTGATTCGCTGCGCGGTCAACTTTAGCTTTCCATTTTTATGATGTCTATTGTGTCCTTCTATCCTTCTACTTCTTTCTATGAGTGCCGGTCAATATATTGTCTCTTTATTAATGAAATGTCTATATGGCTTCAAGGATTCCCCCTCTGTTTGTTTATGTTTTTCTAAAAAAAAGCCCTGAAATGACCCATATTTTGTTTTAGACCTGTTGTTACTCATTGTGTGAAGCCAGTATCAACATTGGTCAGCATTACTTCCCAGGACCACCCATTTTAGTCTATGCTGACCTAGGAACCAAGGTCAATTATTATAAAAAAAATCTCAATTCATGCAGGTTTGAACCCAAGACACTGGAGCCAAAAGTATACATCTAGGAACTAAACTACCATGACTTCCCAATATCATGAATGCAGGAGCACAATTCTGAACACAGTGCAATAAAGCTGAGCTTTGAATGAGAACTAATCAAATCTAGTGAATCAAGAGATGAAGAACAGAGACTGGCATTGGATAGGACACAGGTTTGAGAATACCTGAGAACACTATAACTTGAATGTTTTTGCAGTGGAACATACAGAGGCATATAAATAAAGACCCCCCCCAAAAAAAACACACACACAGAAAAGGGAGCTAAAGAGTGAAGTTAAAAAGATAGGTAGTACATGGGAAAGCCGCATGCAATAGCAAAAGTATAGGATGCCGTGGCGTCAGTTAGCTTATTATCTATGCTCTGTTGGGGGTTAAAGGGCAGGTAGATAATGAAGAAGTAGTAGTACCACTGAAAAAAAAAAACATTCAATAATATTGTTGTTTTAATCTGAGAACTAATTCCTCTTGTTTTTGCATCTGCCTCTGCACTTTAAAGGATGGTTGGCCTGTTGTGTTGCGGTTTACAGCTCAGCTGGACTTTCAACCCAACACATCCAAATTCGCCACACCCCACTTAGTTTCTTTTATGATATGCTTGTTTAGGGAATGGAGGGGAACTGTGTGTTTATCCCCTTCCTTCCCCCAAGTGTCCCCATAGGGAAAAAACTAATTCTAAGTCTTAGCTATCAGATTTCATTGATTCATAATATTGTCATCTGAAAATTACTTCCAGGGAGTATTATAGGAAATATTACAGCCTCAGATGCTGATGGACAACAACTGTCTTTTAAAACAGACACTGAGGAGACTGGGCAGCTGGTGAAGCTCAGTTCACCAGAAACTTTGCCTAACCAACCTAATGCAAAAATCGTGTACATCTTGCTTGCTGCAACCTTAGACAGGGACTATGTAAGTTTCTCAGTGGTTTGTTTGTGTGTCTCTGGTAATATCTCAGTAATAATCAATGATATAACAAAACATAGCATGTATTGTCAGTAGAATCTCCAGTCCACTTTATATAGAATTGAATAGAACTTGACTGAAGCAAATTGAAAGTCAGTTGCGTATCATTTACAGAAGGTAACAGAGCCAACTCCAGCATTTTTTGGCAACTGTGGTTTTTTTAGGCAAATTTTACATTAAGTGGTTTGCCATTGCTTCCTGAATGGTCAGCTCTTGGTACCAGTGTCGAAACCAACACAAGATGTTCTGCAGCTAAATCGCTTGCAGCTGGAGTCGAACCCAGCATTATGAACTGAAGGAGGAGAAGCTAAATGTGTTCTTATTCAGAAGATCCATATTCATATCCTCAGTAGGGTAATGGATGGTTTTTCTGTCACAGACACAGACACACACACACACACACACACAAAACTGAACCTTTACAGTCTGTGTTGATTGCACTAGCCACATGTCCCTAGATCCTCAGTTTAAGACATCCCCCCCCCCCCCCCCACCACCCATACTCTACCACTCTTAAGGAGGCAGATGCAGCCAGTAATGACAGTTTTAATCTCTTAGGTGGACAGAATAGATTGCAAAATTGAAACAAGATGACAAAGGTCAAGGGCATTTACAGACCAAGTGAAACCAGAATTTGGAGTCCTCATGGGGGAGCGGCTAGATGCTCGCCGCGGATTGGAAGGTCGTGGGTTCGTTCCCTGGCGGACCCGGATTTTTTTCAAAAACGACTTTCGCTCCCAGGTCGATCCAGCCTTGAGTGGGTACCGGGTTCAGACCTGGGAAGTATAGGCGGCCGACGTGATGCTGACCACATCACCCATCTTGTGCCGATTGGTCTATAAAAATATAGGTCTAGCCCTAAATGCCCTATATGCCTAAAGGTGTGGAAAAGGGTCCTTAACTTTACTTAAACCAGAATTATAATATTGAAACATATGTAACACCACCAAGAAACAAATTATAAACAGCATATAAGACCAGCACTGTGTTACCTGTGCAAGACTTTGAGATTATCAGTAGCTCATCTGTGTACAATTATCAGCTGAGAGATGAGAAGAGAAATGAGTTAGTTATCTCAATAGAATGCAGCCACAACAAATACCATCCTAGGCACCATACCTTAAAGGATCTGATGTGCGAGCAAGAGGACACCCAAGAAAAATCTTGAAACTTGTACATACATAAAGGAAAAATGCCTTAGACAGCTGTCAAATGTGCCAACACTAATGGCACCACACTAGAATTGCAGCTCACTGTTTGTGCAAACAGTCAATCGTGAAAGCTAATATTGCACATACAAAAGTAGACTCAATATTTCATCATTTTAGTGCAGTCAGCAACACAATGCGGTCACAACCCAGGGAATTGATTGATGATATTATGTAAAGAGATTATACATTAACACAGAATGACAATAGCCAGTACCACTCATACAGCTTTGGACCACACACTGTTGCTTCCCTTGAAGCTTAACAGCAAGAGTAGAAGTTGGTGATGATAGCATATATTCTTGTCGTTGACAATTTTGTTTTATTGTCTCTAAGAATTCTTGCTTGATGATAGGTTCTTTATGTTCTGAAATCTTACAATTAAATTGGCTTAAAAAAATGTGTATTTGTTTCATTAAGAACAATGTCTTTTAACATTTTAAATTTTCATTTTTGCAGGCTCCCAACCAGAGATACCTGTATTTCACTGTATCGGATGGTGCTAGCACTGTAAGATTTATTTTTAATTCTTTCACTTTTTAATTGTTATACAATAATGGAAAAGACTATACACTATTAGATCTAGCATAAACACTATATTAAAAACATCATCATCATCTAGTGCCATGCCAGCAAGTATTTGAGGTCAAGGGTCACTATATCAGAGAAATCATGGATCATGCCTGAATTCTTTCACTGCCATAGTCATAGAGTCTGACCACTTATCCATTGCTATTTTTCCTTCACGTTTGGAATTTTTCACTACATTTTTAAGTTTTTCCTTCTCAATACATGTACAAACTATCTTGACTGTCTATGCCCAATTTCTCTAATCGGTTTGTGGTTTTCATCTCTTTCAGGGAGAACTGTCTTTTTTTTTTGTCTATGATTTTTTTTTTCATTTACCTCAGAAACCTTACTGCCTTAGATTTTCTCAGCTTGTCTTTTAATTGTCCTAATTTCTCTTCTAATTCCCAACTGTCAGGAAAAAAAATAGTTATAAAGCTAAGCTGGTACTTCCGTTCAAAGCAATAATCGAGGAGTTTAAAGTCGGCAAAGGTAAGACTCACGTTGATGCTGCGCAAGTCTTCAGACCAGTCACAGCTGTCCAGCCCGCTCTTAAGCAGCTTTGAAATGGAAGGTCCAAGATGTGATAGAGTCTGCTCAGAAATCACTGAAATTGAAGGAAGTCGTAGGTTACACACTAGCTGACCGATGTGGCCTAGGGCATGGAAAAGTCACTTAGGGTCCAAAGCCTTGGCCAAAGAACGCAGAGACATGGTAATACAGCAGATAAGGGACACCGAAAATGAGACTCGGGTCCAAAAAAAGCAGCCCAACCCTCGCAGCAAGGCCAGTGAATCAGCTTTGAGAGTGCCTTGCCACGAATATTCACATGGGGTGAGATCTGGCAAATGGCCCCGCTGTGTGCCACCACCAACCCGACATGTCAACTATGCAGAGCTGAGCAGATGCTTGGGCAGGTATTGTCTGCATGCATCCATAGGCCATGGATGATATACATGGCGCCACAATAAAGTCCTTGAAGAATTAGAGAACATTGTGGAATGTTGAATTAAGAATTAACATCATAGCACTCGTGATACCCTTATAAGCGCTCTGTCCCCATCTTCAGCAGCAAATTAAGAGTTCCAATTCCCATAGCCCCAGTAACTGTCTGATTGTTTATCCATTTGGCCCTTCCTTTGAGTGTTGAGCGTCGACCAGATCCCCTGGTAACTCCTTGCAAAGCCATTCTCCTCAGAACTTTATGATCTGTTTACGCTTCCGCACTGTTCACTCACTCTCAGAGGGCTCTCACAATGTCTAGCTTGTCATACATCAGTTCACCACAAAGTAGTGCAAGGAAAAACCCTGCTTGTACCAGGTCTCAAGATTACTGTATGTTCTTTTCTTTAAGGAACACAACATGAATCACTGTGACAATTTAATGTTTATTCTCTCTCTCTCTATCTTTTGTAGTTGTAGCAGATAGTTGGCTTACTTGTATATTGTATTTATGTTTCAGATTCCTATTTTGATCACAATGTTCATCTCAGATGTCAATGATGTCGCCCCGAAGTTTGTCAATTTGCCATATGAAGTGACGGTCAAAGAGGTTAGGGAGCACACACATACACACACACACAAAAATATGTTGTGTAGTTATAGTTTAACTAAATGCCAAGGCATTTAAAATTAAGAATATTTTGAGTTTAAAGATATAGTTAAAACATTGAACAAATAAAAACACTTTGCTCGGGTTAATACATTGGCAAATTAACCTGTTTAATAAGAAAACCTAAAATATAACTTTTATTTGAGTTTTTAAATTTTTAATATAAAAATGCAAAGAATGGTTTAAAAAAAAAAAGTATTTTAACATGATAATGGTGATATTTCTAGTTGTAGCAGTAATAATAATATTTTGACAGATAATGAAAGGCAGTAAATAAACAGCTTATGAAATGTTACTTTAGACAGCAAAAAGTTTTGCTAACCAAATCAATTAACTGTTCATTTGTTTAACCTTCAACTTTCAGAATGCTAAAAATGGCTCTGTAATATTCAACGGTGTCTCTGCTGAAGATCCAGATAATGGCAGAGGTGTTCTTTTTACAATGGAGGTATACAAGATTAGACTTATTTTGTGTGTTTGTTCATTAGTTTTATTGTTGTGACATTGGCGGTGGAAAACATAGAGATAAAGCCTGCAATACGAGGTTAATGTTACATGTGTGTGTGTGTGTGGGGGGGGGGGGGGAACATATCAAGAGGTAGACTAGAAGACAACTTATCGCAAACAGAAAGAAACAGTCATAATTTTTTTGTCATGTTATGAGAAAAAGGAAACTAGAAGGATCTGTGGAAAGAAAAACAGAGGAGGACTGAATGAGATGATTCTCAAGTCTTTTATAATGGCATGGAGGGGTGTCAAAACACGAACTAACACACAGTTACAGATTTCGAAGAGCCAGTATCGCCCACGCCAGTTTGCAAGGCAATTGATGATGATGATGATGCAGGAATTCTCTTGTGTAAGTGCACTTCGATGATATGGCAGTTAGTATTGGAGACTGTTTACATCGACATTTCATGTAGCGGTGACACTTGATGTTTTATTGTGCCTCTTTTTTAAATACAGTTCTGTTTGTTTCTGATGTTTACTATTGGGCATGTAATGAATAAAGAAAACACAAAGTATGTTTAATTAGCACTGCACATGACCTGTTTTTGCAATAAAAAAAAAAATAAGTAAAGGACCCTTTTCCACACCTTTAGGCATATAGGGCATATAGGGCTAGACCTATATTTTTATAGACCAATGGGCACAAGATGGATGATATGGTCAGCATCACGCTGGCCACCTTTACTTCCCGGGACTGCACCTGGTACCCACTCAAGGCTGGGTTGACCTGGAAGCCAAGGTCATTTTTTAAAAAAGTCCAGCTCCACCAGGGAGAGAACCTATGACCTTCTGATCCCCGGTGAGCGTCTAGCCGTTCCGCCATGGCGACTCTCTGTTTTTGCAATAATTTGTCCTTTATTTTTACTATGCATGCCGTGTGTTTCTGTTGTTGCATTAAAATGGTGGGTGGCCGACTAAGCTCAGAACTGCATGCACTTTGCGGTTGCAATACTGACTTTTATGATTGACTGTTTGCATCAATAATGAGCTGCAATTCTGGTGTGGGGCCACTAGTCTCACAAATGCTTAATGAATTTTTACTTTGTGTGAGCAGGCTTTAAGATGTTGCTGGGACTGCCAAATTTTTCACTAGTTTTTAAATGAGATAATGAAGAAAGTATTGTGTAGTTTCTGCTGGCAAAGAATGGAGCAATTATAGGGTGACCTGCCTGCTGTGATGTTTAAACTTTGACTGACTAACCTATCTTTACTAAAGCCACATTTCTCACAGATTTACGGTACCTGTCATGGAATCAAGGCCCAAGGGCTGCAATATCCATGGTACTGAACCAAAGGGCTTAGAACTCATGGTTTCTGGATATTTAAAAAAAATAAAAATGTGTTTTTACAGTGAAAACATGATATAGTCAAAAAAGAAGAAGAAAAAGTGATGTTTAACTACTACGCAGTTCTATTTGTAATCACATTGAGAGCTTAGTATCTGCATGTTGTGTGTCAAAAGCAAAAAATGAAAAAACAAAATGCTTATGGAGGTTGTTTAACTACTATGATAATTCTTTATTTATTGTTTTGTATTAACATTCTTTATGACTGACCATCACCTATGTTTCCATTTAAGTGACAAATACTTGAAAGATTATATTAATAATAATAATAATAATAATAATAAAGTTTACATTAACAGAGAAGGTTGATAGATTAACTTCTTCTTCTTTGCGTTCACCAGCTGTAAACTGGCAGAAAGTTCTGGTTGTTCATCCACTTTTGGACTGCAGTTCTGTTCCAAAACCTGAGTTTTGCGTGTGCATTCATTTTACAGATCTGACTCATTTGTATGCAGACTGCTGTTTCCTTGCCTCTCAGGCAGATGCACTCAGACTTCGAAGGAAAGCTCATTAGTTGTAGTAAGGGTCCCTGTTTGACACATGGAGCATTAAGTCACATTTAACTTATTTATAAAATTACAACCTGTTTTGAATCTTCCTAATGATATATGCATGACAACAATCAACCCCCTCCTCAAAAACATGATTTCTTCACATTTTTTATGATAACGTTTCTGAATATATTTTGTCTCTGACTGTTTCACAACAGCCAAGTCTAGAGCTTTAACATCTAGCTGTGATACAAAATATATCATGTTCTTTGTTCCATTTTTGCAACAACAACAAAAACAATAAAAGGGTGGGGGGGGGGGGGGGGAGACAATAAATTTAATTATAACTGAAGGCGTAGCATGCACAGTGAACTTCATAGATAGATTAACTGCTGCCGATCCTCTAGGCGGCTAGCTACTTTATGATAAAGCAGAAATAGTGAAAGCTATCCAGGATCAAATGGACATTTAATAGAACAGATAGAGAATCCATACACTGAAAAATTTAATTCAATGGAAAAAAAAGTGGGGGTTGGGACGGAGGTCTGGATGATATTCAACACTGAGGGGAAAACATAGGCGAACATGTTGTCAAGTTCAGCTGGTACTATAAGTATATCAACTCTCTGTTGGCAATTGAAGAAGAAGACTGAGCACGTCTGGTAATGTCCTGAGTGCAGTGACCTTATGTGCCTTTATTGATTCATTTATTCATTCATTTACTGAAATTTGCAAATGTTTCTAATTTTGTAATTTTTTTTCTTCTATTTTTCAGTCAAATGCTCAGGTGAGTACAAATTGTCTGTTGATTTCAAATAAATTTACTTGTAATGTATGCTTATTTAAATTGTAACTAAAAAGATAACTAAAATAGTTTATTTCCATTGTTAGAATACAGACATGTCTTGATCATATCTAAAGGCCCTTAATAGCTTGAGCATTTTCATGAAACAGTCAAAACAGAAGGACAAAGATAGGCTTGGGTAACCTGAGTAACTAGTAGAACTTCAAACTGGAACCTACAAGGGCATAAAAATAAAGGTAGACTAAAAAAACGTAGAGAAAGGAACTAGAGAATGAAGTTAAAAAGATGAGAAAACCATGGGGTTAGCTGCATGTGATATCAAGGATAGGACAACTAGGTGTCAGCTGGTTGAGGGCCTATGCTCCATTGGAGGATAAAGGGCAGAAGAAAAAGAACCTGGGTAGTCAGCTGGACTCCAGGGTCAACTCAGCCTAAAATGAGTATCCAGGAAAATGGCTAAGGAAGTAAAGGTGGCCACATTGCCCTCTAGGTGCCAAAGTGTCAATATAAATAGGGAGTTTAGCACCATATGGCCTAATGAACTTGCCAGAAATTAAAATGATTATTTACTTAATGAAGGTACTGAAAGAAATGTTTTATGTGGTCTTTTCTTTTGTATTTATGTAAGTGCTGGACAGTTAGTAGCAGCAATACAATTGCTACCATCACTAACATCATTGCCATGATCATAATTAACCACATCATCATCATCATCATCACTTTCACCACCATAATTATCAACATCACTATCATTATCACCAAAAGCTTCACTGCTGCACCAGCCATCACATTTATTACCACTGTAAGCATTATTATTATTATAGTCATGTTCAGCAAAATCATTTTTATTAGTATTCTTACTGTGATCATCATCATCATCATTACCATTGCTTTATTGTTTTGTTGCAGGCAGCAGATGAAGAATACTTAACAACCTTTGAGATTAATCAGTATAATGGAGTCATTACTCTGACTCGAACACTTGATTATGAGAAGCACAGTTACTACCAGTTCAAAGTCATGGCAGAGGTAAGAAGGATTCTCTTTGTTTCTACACTGTAATATTTTTGAATGGTTATTATGGAGCCTGATACCAGTTTCAATGTATAAGTTAATAGAAGCCAGCACCTGCTGCAGTCAGTGAAAGGCTGTTTGTCTGCTAACCCAAACATTCATGGTTTGAATCTGACTCTCATGTCGGCCCACCCTGTATGTGTGTCTATATATATATATATATATATATATATATATATATATATATATATATATATATATATATATATATATATATATATATATATATATATATGTGTGTGTGTGTGTGTGTGTGTGTGTGTGTGTGTGTGTGTGTGTGTATACATAACTACATATATAACTTTCTCTATATATATACACATATATATATATCTACACCCGCACACACACATATTTATATATACATATTTATATACACACACACACACACACACACACACACACACACACATATATATATATATATATATATATATATATATATATATATATATATATATATATATATGAATACTCCTAGCACGCACACAAAATAGGCAGGCGCAGGAAAGTGTATAAAGTGGGCGAGCTGACGAGGGGCCATGATTCTTTCCTTGACTATGGTTTGAGCACCATTCTGTAAAGAACCTGTGGCATGATGATCAGCAACAAAAAATCCAGCTGGTTGTTATCACTTAATTTTCTACGTTTGCCTTAGCCAGAATCACAGTATTAAAGCATGGTCTTTGCACACTTAAGTTTTTTTAAAAGTTTATCAGTTATTTTTTTATTGTTATTTTCTAGGACACAGGTGGTTTGAAGGCAGATCCTGCTGGCTTTGTTGTGTATGTTTTTGATGTTCAGGACAGTCCACCAAATTTTATCAACCTACCATACAGCATACAAATTGATGAGGATGTTTTAGTGGTGAGACTATGCAAAACCTAACTATGTTTTACTGTCTTAGGTGCCTCATTGGTAAAATAACCACAGCGTAAACTAGATGGAATAGTTTATGAAACAATATGGAACACTCTTCAAATGAAGAAAATTTTCCCATGTGGATTCTGGAGACCCATTTTTTTAAATGGATAAAGAATAGACCTACTGCCAACCTAACATTAGTTAGTTGTGTATCCTTTACAACATGTTGCAGAACCAACCAGCATTTTTTAGCTGTTGCGGTTTTTCTAGGTGAAGTTTGCATTCAGTAGTTTGCCATTGCCTTCTGAACAGTTAGCTCTCAGGACCACTGTCGAAAAGCAAGATGAGCTGTCCCCAGATGGGATCGAACCCGGCACCCCGGCATTAAGCAGCAACACCTAAGCCACAACACCTACCTAAGAAGCATGTCATAAAAGGTGACTAATCAGGTGTTAGCTGAAATTAGATGGGTTGAGCTAAAAAAAGGTTCAGATATTACATCTGTATTTTGTTACCTATATCAGACATTTTGATTATTGTACCAAATGCACTATTGTCTGCAAATCCCACAGAGCACTGTAAAATTTGACATATCAGTGTTTTCCATCTAGTCATTCAATACTAAACTGCAGTTTTATTATTGTCAAATCTTGTATTTACAGTATTTTAGAATTAGAGTGTTTTGAGGCTTGAGATTATAATCATCATTAAGTGTCTTGCCTGACTGGCCAGAGTGATCCTGCCTCTACAAGACCTGTGATCTCCGACAGCATGCATCAATTCATATGCTGATATTCAGCCATGCCGTCAGACAAAATGCTGTCAAGAATCTTCTTGCATTATCTTCCTCTGTCACTCTTCACAAAAATGTTTCCAGTGATCACAACATGTTCCTGTTTCCATTTCTTATAACATAGCCCAAAAAAATACATGGTAATTGTCTCCTGATGTTTGTGATAAATTGTGTCTGGTCATTCACCTCTTTCAAGACATGTGGTTTACTCATCTTGGCTGTCCAAGGAATTTTGTGCATTCTTCTGTAAAACTACATTGTGGAAACAACATACTATTGTGTGACCAGATTAAAAACGAACACTATGACAAAAAAAGATCTTGCAATGGATAACTTTAATGATTACAACATCATATGTTGTTCTTATAAGAACTTTTTTTTCTTCTAAATAGTTCTTCTATAGTTTCAGAATATGACTCAGGAGATCAGTATATGTTTCTTAGCTCACTGTGGTACTTAATTTATAACTTACCCCTGACGTCACGACAACGTCACGGGAGACATTCCCAATAAATTCTAGGGTGTTCAGGTTGTAGTTTCTCGCGATTTCTCTACAGTAAAGTTTAGGGTTAGGGTTAGGGTTAGGATAAGAAAACACTAGATGAACACTCAAAAAAAGCACCACACAACAGCACACTTGCACCCCTTGAAATAATGGACTGTCAGGTCAGCTGTGGATTTCCCACGCGGATTTCCTGTTTGGGGGTTTGTTATAAATTAAGAACCCTCACTGTAAAGAAGACACCCTGCAGGACATACTCAGCAGTTTGCTTAGCTGACATGTACATAAGAAAGGAGCAGAGAAAATTCTTATGAATTATGTCTATCTCCGCCCACCCTAAGGCAGTGGATGGTCATTTGTCCTTTTTGGTCAAGTGTTAGTTCAGACCATCGCTGTACTCAGAACTCTGGTTATTCTTGAAATAAAACAGTTGAAAAGCACAACTGCAAAATACTATATAAATTATCTTCTTAATTAAATTAAAAATATATATGTATATGTAATAATCATATCATTATCCTGTTGTGCCATTAGAAATCCTGAAAAGCTCACAGTCTATGCCTTTAATCTGCTCTCTCTCTCTCTCTAACCCTTTTAATGGTGTGCGTGTGTGTGTGTGTGCATGTGTATACACATGTTTGTGCATGTGTGTATATGCATGTGTGTGTGTGTATGTGTCCACATGTGTGTGTGTGTTTTTGTGTGTGTGTTTTTGTGTGTGTGTTTATGTGTGTGTGTATACACTTTTAAAATGTAATTTGTATCTCCAGGGTACTTTAATACAAAAAGTAGTGGCTGTTGATGGTGACAGAGGGATTCCCAATAATATCACCTACACCTTTGAAACAGGTGAGCAAAATTAGAAAGGACCCAAGAAACAAGTCACACTTCATGAAGGTAGTACTAAATAGATGAAAAGGGGTCTCCATGTAAGTAAAGGTGAAAGACCCTCATCATGTGGAATATAGTGCTAGACTTATATATGTGTGTGTGTGGACCAGTCGGTGCTCAGTGTGTGAAGTGGTCATCATTATGCTGACCGTCTTTACTTCCCAGGTATTCACCTGGTACTTATCTATGGCTGGTTCTCCATGGCTTAGCGGTTAAGTCAATCTTCTTATACTCTAAAGGTCATGGGTCATTTCACTAACTGCATTGTTTGGTTCAATTTAGTGAGTTTACTGAGGACCATTGCTAGAGCTACAGAGTATCTGATGTGTGCAGCCTTCTCAGCAGAGGGCTAGCTGTTCTGTAGAGAGAGACTGAGCCTTTAGATTGAGCCATATGACATAAAACTGGGTTCATTGAAGTTGATCCTCTTGACCTTGGACTTTAGATCAAAAACTAGAAACATAACAGATAGGATCTCACTCACTGTAATTTGTGTAAAATAAAAGGTTGGAAGTAATGTTTTGTTTCGGTATGCATGCTGCACACTGTAAACAATCATTTTAGCATTATGTAGAGCCAGGGAAAACAAGCAGCTAAGTTAATTATATAGTCTTTACAGTTTTTTAAAGGAGTAGAAAATTATAGGGAAGAAAAAAAGTTGGTATGAAACAACAAACAGTTTATGTTAGCTTTACAAAATTGATCACAATAAACAAACAAAGGACGTTGCGGCAATTAGCCTTCATCAGCACATAAAGAACAATGCAGTACACATACACAAATATACTCTAACTATGAAGTGACTACATGGGACTAATGTACACAATAAATGATACTCATCTGTGTTCCTGGCGAAAAAAAACTTCCTTCAAAAGGATGTCAAGGACAGGTACTAGCGTATTTATCACCAACGCACGGACGGAGAGCAAAAAATGGGTTCACTAAAACTAGGAAATGGATGGAATAGACGCCCACAAACAGCATCCACTGAGTGTCTAAAGAGGGATGGAGTGGTTGGCCAATAAGGCGTGACCCAGGCTGGGTCGTGGGGGTGACATTGGTCCATCTCATGGAATAAAAGTGGTGCCTGTGCTAACGAAGAGCAAACCCCAGCATTTTTTGGATATTTTTGATTTTGCTAGCCAATTTTGCATTCAGTATTTTGCCACTGCTTTCTAAACAGTCAGCTGTCAATACCACTGTGACATCAGTGCAAAGTGGTCTGCTGCCTGATGGCAGCTAGAAATCAAAGCTTGTATCCCATAATTATAAACCGTGTTCACTCCCAGTGTGGATTCCGGGGCCCCATTTTGGGGGAAAACAAGCATAGACTCACTGCCTATCCAAAAGCAGGTGGTAGGAGTCGACTGATTGTTAGCTTCCTTCAAAGTTTCAGTGCATCTACCTGAGAGACAAGAAACCAGCAGTCTGCATACAAATAATCCACATCTGTTAAACGGATGTACATGCAACACGTATGTTCTGGAACAAGTCAGTGAAAATCACAGCATGTGTGTACAGCTAATTTTCAAGCCAGTGGAAGGCAGCACAGTCTTTGCTAGCAACAAAGAACCCTGCAGTATCAGTAGGTTGAAAAACTGAGAAAATTGTAAGAAAAAGAACAACTAGATTGAGATTTATGGAGGATTGATAAAGTGAGTTCAGTTGTGGACAGACAACTCCCTAACTCAGTCTAAATTAATGTGTATTAAGTTTGCAGTATTCTTGAAAAAAAAAATGAACATCATTCCTTTTTGTGAATAAAGAAGACACGAACAATAGACTGCATAAATTATTGCCTGAAATATTTCCATAGACTTTATCATGAGCAGTCATAATTGAATACAGTGAAGCAAATAAATGAATCCTTCTGCCTGAAATACAAAACCAATTATGCTTAAAAGAAGCTGCCTGTTTTACGGGGGCAAATGCAGGTTCATGACTACTTCCTGTGATACAGTTAGGTAATAAATTGTGCATTTGATTGTTTGTGTCTTCTTTCACATTTATAATAGGTGACAGTTTTTTTTTTTTAAACCATTACTTTTGGCTAGCTGGATATCTCAAGTTCTACATGTACAGCAAAATATATGTCAGGAAACATTGTTTTGTCATGAAATTAAGCAATGTTTGCCCATTCTGTGGCAGCTAAAATATGTTATTATAAATGACAGCTGGCTGTGACAGAGAAACAAAAGTCTTGGCAATAGCCATTTATTGGCAAAACAATTTTGAAGGCTTGTGTCCTTTTCTTAACATTCTGTTGAAAATAGTGGTTGCTAATTGCTCACTTAAAAAAAACAAAAAAAAACATGGATGAGTTGAGTTAATAACCTGTATCATGGGACTCAGAACATTTCCATAAGCACTCCATCTCCATCTGCAGCAGCTGTGCAGAATATAAGAGGTTGAGTCAGCATGAATGAGTAAATTTTTTTGTTTATTTAAGACAAGGACAAATAAGAGGGGACATACAGGAATGAAAGAGAGAGAGAGAGAGAGAGAGAGAGAGAGAGAGAGAGAGAGAGAGAGAGAGAGAGAGAGAGAGAGAGAGAGAGAGACAGAGACCCTGACTCCTTTTCTGTTTAAGAAAGATTTACCTACATTGCAGGAGACTATGAGAATTTCCAGCTTGATCCCAAAACTGGACAGATAACAGTCAAAAAACCACTGGACCGTGACTCTGTGAACATGAGGAACACAGGCGGTGTCTATGCCATGAATGTGAAGGTAAGTCTAAAAATGTGGATCTACTCATATTGTAAAGAAAGTAAAGGACAATTTTCACACAGGTAGCCTGGTGGGCATATGATGCTATGAATTTAGGGGAGCCTGCTACTAGAAACAAGATCTGCTTGTGTTGTGGTAATTTTAATTTTAAATTAAGATTCTTTTCACATACAGAGATGATGCAAAAGTAAATAGAGTAAAACAACAAGCATTGTATGATTATCATTTATTTGGTTTTAGTGTGCACATCATTACGAGATGTTATTTATATGATCTTAAAAGTATAGAAATATTATACATATATATATATATATATATATATATATATATATATATATATATATATATATATATATATATATATATATATATATATATATATATATATATATATATATATATATATATATATATATATATATATATATATATATGATTAGTTGTGTATCCTTTACAAGATGGTGCAGATCAACCCCAGCAGCCCCTGGCTGTTGTGTGGTTTCTCTAGGCAAATTTACATCCAGTAGTTTGCCATTGCTTCTGGACGGTCGGCCCCCTGATACCACTGTCAAAACCAACACAAGGCGCATGGCCCACAGCTGGGATCGAACCCGGCACTCCGGCATTACGAAGCGTTCACAAAGCCACAGAGCCGACCATATATATATATATATATGTGTGTGTGTGTGTGTGTGTGTGTGTGTGTGTTATTATATTATAAAAGAACTGTCATACACCAGATCAATGTACAAATCCATTTAGTTTATGATAACTAAGGCTCAACATTAGTCACTGTTATAGTCACTGCTGAGAAGCAACAATACAAAAATAGACTGAAAATATTTGCTGTAAAACTAAAAATCCAGATAGTAATTTTTATTATGGGTCCCAATAACACAGGTAGAGTTGAAAATCGGCAAGACTGCAGTTGGGCTGATAGCAATAACTGAATAATAATTTTAAAATATAGAAATGGGAAATGCAGAGAATTCCTACGTGTGCAGCTTTCCTTAAATTTCTTTACATATTTTTTTGGTCATTTTGTGTGTGTTTATTTAGTTGTCAGAAACACATCTGATGTTTTAAAATTGCTAATACATTAGTTAGTTAGTTAGTTAGTTATTCCTCTTGTGCCAAAGATGGCGCATAGGGCAGAGGTCATAGCTTTCCACGTCTGTCGGTTCGTTGCCACTTGATGTAGGTCTTGAGTGCGACTGAGACCTATGGTTGAGCTCTCCCTTGTGATGGTTCTACGGAGAGTTTCTTTTGGTCTTCCCTGTTTTCTTTTACCCTCTGGTGACCATATGAAGGCTTGGTGGGGAAGTCTCTGTATGTCCATTCTGAGTACGTGACCGAACTAATACATTAATGTATACTATTTTTTTAGGCAGCTGAAGTTGTACCTCCAGGACAGGAGAATTACGGGGAAACAACTGCGACCACCCTCGTCACAATAACAGTTCGAGATGTCAATGACAATGGACCAACTTTCAATCAACGAAATTACTCAGCCACAATTTTAGAAAACATGCAGCATAATGTGCCTGTTTCCTTTCAAGGAAGCATGATGGTGGTTTCAGACATTGATCAGGTAAACTGGGCCCAGAATTCATATTTTTAACTCATTCATTATGTGACGTTTCATTACTTCAAATCTTTCTGAATATATTCTTCTTCTTCTGCATTCACCTTAACTCTTCATGCCCCAGGCAGGTGTCACTTTAACTCACCATATCATACACAACTAAAAGACATTTATGTCCAAAGGAAATAAAGTAATAGCACCACCAGTTCACATAATAACTGGTACAGACTGAGTCAGTAAAACAACTGATTGGAGCCTAAAGGTGGTAAGATATAAATATGTATAATAAAAAAAAAAAAAGTAAAGGACCCTTTTCCATGCCTTTAGGCGTATAGGGCATGTAGGGCTAGACCTATATTTTTTTAGATCATCGGCACAAGATGGGTGATGTGGTCAGCATCACTCCGGGCGCCTCCACTTACCCGGACTGCACTCGGTACCCACTCAAGGCTGGGTAAACCTGGTATCCAAGGTCATTTAAAAAAAAAAATTTTGGCTTCTCCAGGGAGCGAACCCACGACCTTCCGGTCCCCGACAAGCTTCTAGCCGCTCCGCCACAGGGACTCCTGATATAAATATGAGTAGAAAGCAAAAAGAAATGCATGATGCATAGCTTGGTAGTTAAGGAGTTAAAAGAACAGAGAACAGCTGGCACATTTTGTTGTGGTTTACAGATAGACTATGGTCTTATAGCCCAACACATCCTATTTCAGAAAATCTGTTATTAGTTGCCTCTTATGTTATGCTTGGTAGGGAGTTGTTGCCTCTTATGTTCTGCTTGGTAAGGAGTAGTTGCCTCTTATGTTATGCTTGGTAAGGAGTAGTTGCCTCTTATGTTATGCTTGGTAGGGAGTTGTTGCCTCTTATGTTATGCTTGGTAAGGAGTAGTTGCCTCTTATGTTATGCTTGGTAGGGAGTTGTTGCCTCTTATGTTATGCTTGGTAAGGAGTAGTTGCCTCTTATGTTATGCTTGGTAGGGAGTTGTTGCCTCTTATGTTATGCTTGGTAAGGAGTAGTTGCCTCTTATGTTATGCTTGGTAGGGAGTTGTTGCCTCTTATGTTATGCTTGGTAAGGAGTAGTTGCCTCTTATGTTATGCTTGGTAAAGAGTAGTTGCCTCTTATGTTATGCTAGGTAAGGAGTAGTTGCCTCTTATGTTATGCTTGGTAAGGAGTAGTTGCCTCTTATGTTATGCTTGGTAGGGAGTTGTTGCCTCTTATGTTATGCTTGGTAAGGAGTAGTTGCCTCTTATGTTATGCTTGGTAAGGAGTAGTTGCCTCTTATGTTATGCTTGGTAAGGAGTAGTTGCCTCTTATGTTATGCTTGGTAAGGAGTAGTTGCCTCTTATGTTATGCTTGGTAAGGAGTAGTTGCCTCTTATGTTATGCTTGGTAAGGAGTAGTGGCCTCTTATGTTATGCTTGGTAAGGAGTAGTTGCCTCTTATGTTATGCTTTGTAAGGAGTTGTTGCCTCTTATGTTATGCTTGGTAAGGAGTAGTTGCCTCTTATGTTATGCTTGGTAAGGAGTAGCTGCCTCTTATGTTATGCTTGGTAAGGAGTAGTGGCCTCTTATGTTATGCTTGGTAAGGAGTAGTTGCCTCTTATGTTATGCTTGGTAAGGAGTAGTTGCCTCTTATGTTATGCTTGGTAAGGAGTAGTTGCCTCTTATGTTATGCTTGGTAAGGAGTAGTGATCTTTGACCACTGTCTTTACAGGATGATACAGAACCATCCCCAGCATTTTTTGGCTGTTGGGGTTTTATCCTAGGCAAATTTATGTTTGGTAGTTTGCATTTGCTTACTGGGTGGTGGGCTCTTGCTACTACTGTTGAAACTAACACAAGATGGGTCTGCTGCCAAATCACCTGCCGCTGGGATCAAACCCGGTGCCCCTGCATTACAAACCACATTCGTAACCCTTGAACATTAGTAAGCAAGCACATTACCCATAACTGACTGACTGACTTTCTACCCCACCAGAACATCACACAAGCGATAAACACCCGATGACACAAAGTGCCACCATGTGGATGAGGATGGCCCTGGAGAGGTCCCAGAAACCGCGTTCAGACAATTGGCCATATTTATGGCCTGCCTATATTGCGGCCCCAGGCAAAAGCCAGGGTGGGGCTTCAAATAACAAACAATTTTGTCCTAAAAAGGACAAAACTGGATTGTGTATATAGGTAGACATACATTACCCATAATGCTGTCATAGTTCATTATCTTACTGCCATCTATTAGGGCAGTGTAAGACACACAGTTTCATTAACCTGTTTTATTTTAATACACAAGATCAGTGTGCCCAGTTAAATTTAATATCTCATTTAAATGTTTGTTTGAATCTTTCACAGGGCACCAACAGCCATTTCTCTCTTAGTTTTCAAAAGGATGGTCAGCCATACTATGATTTTTCACCACTTCCACAAGAAATTTATTCGGAGTCGTCTGTCCTGATAAGGGTGAACAACTCTAATACCTTGGATTATGAGAAAAGTCACAGAGTTGTCTTTGAGGTTTGCACTGACTTATATAATTTATAATTTCTAGTGCATAGCAGAGGGCAAGTTATTTAAAAAAAAAAAACAGATAACATCCAAGAAACAGAATGTTACAGAAACAAGAAGTACACAAGAACAGAAAACATCCAAGAAACAGAACATCCATGAAACAGAACATCCAAGAAACAGAACATCCATGAAACAGAACATCCAAGAAACAGAACATCCAAGAAACAGAACATCCATGAAACAGAACATCCAAGAAACAGAACATCCATGAAACAGAACATCCAAGAAACAGAACATCCATGAAACAGAACATCCAAGAAACAGAACATCCATGAAACAGAACATCCATGAAACAGAACATCCATGAAACAGAACATCCAAGAAACAGAACATCCATGAAACAGAGAACACCCAAGAAGTAGAGAATGTCTAAGAAACAGCTACATTAAAAGAATGCAAGGACATGTGGGCTCAAAATTGAAGACACTTGCTGAATGTGACAGTGCAATGATATGGTCATATAACTTCATCATCATTCTTTGATTAAACTAGTAATAGTATAGTACACACTGAACTAGTGTGCAGGAGAATAAAGTATAGTATATAATGGCAACCAAACAAAAGAATAATCTTCCAGTAACAGCATTATAAGAGTGGAAAGTGATGAAGAATGCAAACTAAACTAAGCCTTTATATTATGCAGTCATTAATAGTTTTTTTTTCCATATTGTCTTATTCAGCTCTGGACAAGATCATATGTTTTATTACTAATTAAACTGAAACAGTGGCATGTAATTCTGAAGCAGTCACAAAATCACAGCATTCATATTCTCAGTGACAGGTCTTCCTAACCTTTTTAACCTTTCTAACGTTTCAAACCAACACCAACATTTGTTGGCTGTTTGTGATTTTTCTTGGCAATTTTAGATTCAGTAACTTGCCTTTTTGTCTGAATGGTAAGTGCTCTGTACCATTGTCAAAATGAGGGTTATATAATTTGCTGCCAAATTGCCCGCATCAAGGAAATCAAATCAAGTATTTCAAAGTTTTAAACTATGTTTTTAACCCTTAACACAGACAAATCAACCCTCATAAGTTGCATTATCATTCAATGTAAATCTCTGGTAGAAGATAATAACTTAATAATAATATTTGTTACCAGGTTGTGGCTAGAGAGTTAGACACTACAGAAAAGAGATCAAGCACTGCAACTGTTACTATAGACACTGAAGACATGAATGATAATGCTCCTGTTTTTGAAAAGACAGATTACACCTTGACAGTGAAAGAAAACACATCCATTGGGATGTCTGTAGCTCAGTTCAATGTAAGTAAAATGTTTACATCTGTTCTGACTAAATTCATTTTTGACCTGTACAGTTAACACTAATATTTATTGGTTATTTTTGTATTGTTGTTTTAGTAGTTGACGATTACGGAGTGCAGGGTCAATTATTAGACAACATCAGAGCTATGAAAAAAGTGAAAGTGCAGTAAGAACATCTAGTGGTCTTTCTGAATGGTTCAAAGTCACTACTGGTGTCAGACAAGGATGTGTACTGTCACCATTACTTTTCATAACATACATGGATAAGATCACTGTAGAAGCAAACCCAGACGTGTATGCTATAAACGAATTACTTTTTGCTGATGATTAAAGCATACTGTATCAAAATGAATATGATCTACAGGAACATCTGACTACTCTCAACAACAGCTGTTTACAACATAATATGAGAATCAGTACAGAAAAAACAGAAGTTATGAAGATCAGCAGAACACACAGGCCACTGAATATAAATGTTGGAAGTGCCAAAATCAAGCAAACCAAAGAGTTCAAATACTTGGGCAGTATATTTACAGAGGATGGAAGAATGGACAGAGAGATAGAAACAAGAATACAGAAAGCAAATGCTGTCACATACCAACTATCACCTCTGCTTAAACATCCAGATATAACCATGAAGACCAAAAGACAATTGATAAACACCATCTTCATTCCAACACTCTGCTACCAGTGCCAGACATGGACAATCAACAAGACCCACGAAAGAAAAATAGAAGCCTGTGAAATGAAATGTCTAAGAAAAGCAGCGAATAAGACCAGACTAGACAGGATAAAGAATATAGACATTAGAAACACTGTCAAAACTACACCATGTTTAGACTACATAGAACATCAAAGAATGAAATGGTGTGGACATCTAACCAGGATGAAAAATGATCAAATAACATCACAAATTTTCAACCAAAGAAGCTCAGGATATAAGGCAAGAGGAAGACCAAGGAAACGGTGGATTGACGGGGTCTCCGAAACCTGCCAAAAGCATGGCCTTAGAACATCAGATGCTGCCCGCCTTGCTTACGACAGGAACTTGCATCTCCCCACAACGCTTAGCGGCATACGTGGAAGGAAAAAGTAAAGTAAAGTAAGTTTTAGTAGTTTAATGTTTAAAGTAGATTAATATTAGAATTACTTAAATACAGACGATGACCACAATATTTAATGATTTAAAAAAAAGTAAAAGCCACACTTGCTACATTTGTTGAAGTGCAGCTCTATGTCCTCATAACAGTGTAATATTATACATTGTTATTGTTTTAATCGGAATTAAAAAAATTATAACCATTAAAAAAATGCTGCCTCTGCATGAATATTTAGAGAACCCTTATTGAGAACCCTTAGAAATACTGACCTTTCATACAGTTCTTTTGACCTTCTAAAGTTAGCGCCAGTTGTCATTCTGGTGTCAATTAGTTTGTGTCAGTTTTTTCAGGAAACATTAAAAATACTTTATTTGAAAAAAATATTATATAATTTTATGTTTATACTGTAGGCATCTGATGCAGACTCTGGTACTTATGGAAAAATTACTTATTCACTCCGTGGCGGTAATGGGAAGTAAGTGTATCATATTTCTTCCTATTTGTTTAATGTTTTTAAATTTCATTTTTCACATGTGGACAAGACAACTGTAATTTGTTGGTTGTTTTATGAGCTGAAAAGTGGGGCTTGGAGAAAAAGTGATCAACAGAGAAGATCGAAGGTGTTAAAGACAGATCAATGGAGAGAGCGAATACTGAATGAGTTGAGAGTGCCATGAGAGTGGGTATCCTCCAAACTACAGGCACAAAAGATGGCGGCCTCAAAATATGCTTTTGAGCTTCAGTCACATGTCAGTTGCGCTCTTCCGGGGACTTAATTTGCAGTTTTCCGGCAGTTTTCCAGTGAGTCCCCCATGCTGCTCATGCGGCGTGGGTTGGGGCTGAACTAGATGGCTAGGACCCACGAGCAGCAGTTTCCAAATCTCCTGCAGCTTTTCTCGTGAGTCCTAGCCATCTAGTTTAGCCCCACGCGGTGTGGGGGACTCGTTACGGTGGCGGTAGTTGCCGGAAAGACAATTAAGTCGCCAGAAGTGCGCAATTGACACATGACTGAGGCTCATAAGGATGTTTTTCGGCCGTCATCTTTTGTGACCGTAGTTCAGAGGATAGCCGATAAAGTTATTAAGGATGTCAGAGGCAGAATTTTGCGGACTGCTGGTAACAGAACAACATGATGTTTCAAAGATATTTTTTGTTTTGTTTTGAAGAGTAGTCATTTGTAAAATTATTTTAGATTTTTTAAATATGTCATTGTCCATATGCATTATTTATTTTGCTTAAATTTTGGTTAAAAAAACTTGATTGAGTCGTTAAAATTTATGTTGAATATTGAACAAAAATAAACATTTTATTCAGAACATTAGAAAAACTAATATTACCTTTATTTAAGAAATTTCATTCTCTAGGTATTTTCTGAAGCTAAAAGCTAAAATTAAAGTGGAGAAAATTGACTGGAGAAAATTGACTCTCACTGTACCAGGTTTTATCTTATTAAGCTTGACCACTCTTTTGTCCGGAGCCAGACTTTTTTCAAATATGACCTTGGCTCCCAGGTCGACCCAGCCTTGAGTGGGTACCAGGTGCAGTCCCGGGAAAGTAAAGGCGGCCGGCATGATGCTGACCACATCACCCATCTTGTGCCGATTGGTCTATAAAAATATAGGTCTAGCCTTATATGCCCTATACGCCTAAAGGCGTGGAAAAGGGTCCTTTACTTTTTATTTTTACTTACTCTTTTGTCCCCTGCTGAGGGCACTGCACAAAGCATCAAGTGTAGCTTCAGTGACCATCTCAAGGGATTTGCATTCGTGATCTGAATGCCACATACATGAAATGAACCCATGACCCCTTCAGAGCATTAGGCAAATGCCTTGACCATTTTGCTTTGAATCCCCCCCCCCCCCTTTTTTCGTTTTTAAAGAATATGACCAGATGAATGAATGATCGATTGAATTTCTACCCCACCAGGACATCACACAAGCGATAAACACCCGATGACACAAAGTGCCACCATGCGGATGAGGATCGCCGTGGAGAGGTCCCAGAAACCGCGTTCAGACAATTGGCCATATTGATGGCCTGCCTATATTGCGGCCCCTGGCAAAAGTCAGAGTGGGGCTTCAAATAACAAAAAATTACGTCCTAAGAAGGACGTAAAGAATATAACTAAGACTTTATATGACCAGATATGCCAGATCTCAATATACAGCTATAAAAGCACACCATATTTTAATGACGTTTATTTAAGAATTTGTAGGACATCAGGAGCCTCTTTTAAAAGTGATGAAATGTCACAAACTAATATGGTCTGGGCACAAGGTGAGACATGATTTGATTGCAAATACTGTTTTCAAAGAACATTGGGGGAAAGGGGGGAGTGTAGTCAAAGATGAGGGAGGCAAAGAAGAACTAGGAATGACAAAATCAAGAAATGTACAGGAATAAATTAGTATACACTTGTTTAACAGGCGGAAGACAAAAGTGGCCAGTTTTGAATGCTAGTGCTTTCATCAATAGAATACCTCCATGACCCTAGTGGGTCAAGGGTTTTATTATGTTTTATAAGAATGCTTACTTGTTCTGTTTGACATTTTGACCTGACATTGAATGTTTATGAGTTGAACCATAAATGAATCTTTCCCCCATTTCAGATTTGCAATTGACCAAACTACTGGTGTCCTTCGAGTAACAGATAATATCGACAGAGAGCAAAATGAAGAGTTCTACTTAACAGTAGAGGCAAAAGATGGAGGTGGCCTTCGAACTCCTGCAGAAGTTACTGTGACAGTTTTAGATGAGAATGACAACAAACCAGTGTTTAGAAGAAATGATTATGAAGGAATTGTTAAAGAAAAGGCTGCCACTTTTCAGAGACCTTTGAGAGTAGAGGTAACCAGATTTTGTGTGTGTTAGATATGCAAGCCATATTGAACAAGTATTGTATTATTTTTCTTATGTAAATGATTCTAGCTTGAAAAGAAATGTATAGTCAATTTATATTTATTACAGTAAAACCTTGTTAAAACAAATTCTAAAGGACTGAAAAATCAATAGTTAATTAAAAAATAATTTGTGCTAATGTGGGACTAATAATAATTAATCCTTGCTGGGACCAAAATTTAGTTTATGTTAATCAAATGGTCTTCTTAAGGAATTAATGTTAATGAGTTTTACTGCATTTATATTCATTTTTTAAATAATTAATTTTAAAAACATCTACGTCTTGAAGCTTCAGGCCCAGAACAGATGTCAGCAATTATGCTTCTCAAGTTCCTTTGATATTTTGACAAGGTTGCTATTCTTTATATTAATTTAATTTGTTGCCTAGCAGTCTTTCTCATTCAGTGGTCCACTGAACAAGTTTATAGGGTATTATTTTAATTTATTACAATTTATTGATATTTGAAAGAAAAAAAATAAGCTTTAATTTTTCTGTCCCAAACAGCACATTATGTGTGATTGGGTATTATTTGCGTGTACCAGTCAGCATGTTATGTATTGATTAACATCTTATGTTTAGTGAGCGACTCTGAAGAACTCTGAAAACATATTCCTCTCCTGCATGGGTTGTATATTTAACCCCTGTGAAAGTAATATACCCGTGAGTTTAATATTGCTATTCCTAATGCTTTTCGACATTAGCTAGGACCTTGTGAGATTGGAAGAGTTAAGAGTGGAACCCTTTTTTGCAGTTATAATATTTATAAGTTATGACTTGTTCATTGTGACTGTTAAAAAAGTATGGGGTCCATGGTAGACCATAGGAAATAAAAGAGATCCGCAAGTCTTAGCTAGTCAGGAACCACAAGTCTAGCACATTTTAGAATTTACATTTTCATTAATTTCTGTCTATATACTGTTGCCCCTCTTGCTAGTAGTATTTTTTTCTGATGCAGTTTATTTCTCTAATCCACATCTCCTGTGTATATCTACTATACATTTTGTGTGTATTTTCTTATTGTTATGAAAAGTAACACCTGCAGACTTCTTTAGTTTAATGCTTGTATGCTTCTCATTCCAAGATATTATGAAAATTATTCTCAAAACACTAATATCTGCTGTATCCAGTTCCTTTACTGTGTAATCAAATCTTGTCTAATATTTGAATCCATAAAGAAGAAAATTTAACAAATAAATGAATCATTTACAACCAAAATACAAAATCAACCATTGGCAAAAGTCACTGTCTGTTTTAAAAAGGCAATTGACGGTTCACGATCATGTTTAAAACAATTATTAACTCTTTCGGTCTTAAACAACACACCATGCCTAGTGGATATTACTCATGTGCACCGTTTAACATGTTTTGTATGTATTTACATCTTAAATCTATATCAACCCAGAAACACAAATCACCCACAGTGTATTTGGCCCCTGTGGATGAAGTATGTCCATGCTTTTCTTGTAATCATTATTGCTTCAGTCAGTCAACAAGTATTGTCTCCTGCGACTGAAAGAGTTAAATTAATTTAATTGGCCATTAAACTTTGAGTGAATAATTAATAAATGTATCTTTATTCCAGGCCTTTGATAGTGATGAGGCCAACACAAACAACAGTAAAGTCTCATACAGACTTGCGGCTACACCCCCTGGCCTAGCCACCAACTTTAGCATTAATGCCTCCACTGGAGAAATTATGCTAACTCATCCTCTTGACTATGAGAAGCTGAACTCAACACTGAATGGGCTAGTAACTTTAACAGTGGAGGCTTATGATGCGGGCTCTCCAAGAATGTTTTCTCAAGTGTTAGTGAATATCACGGTTGAAGTAAGTGGTAGTAGTAGCAGTAATAATTTCAATAACAATATCCTGTTGAGTCCGTCTGGGTTGTAATTGGGATGTATAAAGTTTGTGTTTTTCCATTTTAGTGATGGATATTTATTTCAAATAATTTTGTTTGCCCCTAAAAGCAATATTGTATAGCTTATGTATTAATTGTATATGATTGTAAGGGTATAGATTGTAAAGTTTATTATCCTTTAAATGTACTTTCAAACAACCGTAGTAATCATCTTGCTCAGTCTATGTTTGCTGATATCTAAAGTGTTTTGGAATACGATTATTCTATCTTAAGATATATTAACATCAGATATGCTAACCTCTGTTCTTGTGATGTACTCTTTAACCCTTCCTTGTAGTTCTCTAGACATGGTAAGTCATTGTGAGTTACTAATAAAGAGAAATTAAGCAGCTACAAATTAATCAAATTTAACATTTAAACAAAGTTAAGGGGCCTGATTTTGGTTTTTTTAAGCCATCTGCATCTTATAAGAATTGAAAATTAACAAATGACAGTGGGTACCAGCAGAATGGAGACTTTTTGCTGGCTGTTGAGGAGAGAGACAGGGCTAATATGGGCTAATGGTGAATGCTGGACCTGCAATCTTTACTCAGAGAACCCAGAACAAAAGGAAACAGACTGACAGAGAAAGGATGGAGAATGAAAAACCCAGAATAAAAGGAAATATACTGACAGAGAGAGATAGAATTGAGAATGAAGAACCCAGAACAAATGGAAACAGACTGACAGAGATAGGATGAAGATTGAAGAACCCAGAACAGAAGGAAACAGACTGACAGAGAGAGATAGGATGAAGATTGAAGAACCCAGGACAAATGGAAACAGACTGACAGAGATAGGATGGAGATTGAAGAGCCCAGAACAAAAGGAAACAGACTGACAGAGATAGGATGGAGATTGAAGAACCCAGAACAAAAGGAAACAGACTGACAGAGATAGGAGGGAGATTGAAGAACCCAGTACAAAAGGAAACAGACTGACAGAGATATGATGGAGATTGAAGAACCCAGAACAAAAGGAAACAGACTGACAGAGATAGGATGGAGATTGAAGAACCCAGAACAAAAGGAAACAGACCGACAGAGAAAGGATGGCGATTGCTGGGTTTAACTAATTTTGTCATCAAGTTGATTAAAGAAGAAAAGATCTAACTACTTTTGTCATCCAGTTGATTACAGGAGAGAAAATCAATTTCAGTGACGATTATTTAGTATATATGAATTTGTCTTCAAAAAAATTTCAATTGTGAACCAGTCAATACAGTCCAATGATAATTCTAAAGAAACTGTGGCAAACAACATTGTTCTTTGTAATGCAGTACCTCTTCTTCAAGTATGTATAAAGTGCATTGTTTAAAGTTCTCTTGCATTTAATATCAACCAACAGCTTATGTTATCAGATAAAACTGGTTAAAAGATCAGTAATTATTCATAGAAAGCTTATGTTCAAATAATAGGAGTACATAAATGGTAACTTAGCAGCTAGACACCCATCTACCAGCATAAAGGTCTATAATTCAAATCTCTGTCAAGGCAGATTTTGTTTTCCAAAATTGACTTTGACTTCTAGGTCGACCTAGTCTAAAATGAGTCTCAGGTAATGTCCTAGGAGGTAAAAGCAGCTGGCATGATTTTTGACCACATCACCCTTGAATGCAAAGACAGTAGAAAAATATAGTTTTAATACTTTATGTTCAGTAGACTAATGGTGTTAAAAAGGTCCTTTACTTTTACTTACTTAACAAATAATTAATTGATCGATGCATCAATCCTCCTGGATGCTACCTAATAGTTTTTTATCCACCCTGAAATTTACAAATCTCTATCTTGAGGGTAGGCCAACAAGGCAGATCCCAGATATCCCATTTATCTCATTAGAATTTAAACTTCAGGGCATCCATAATGACTACACGAGCCAGGTGTAAGCTGCAGCCCTATGTGGGTAACGATAAATTTACAACTATTAAAATCATGTTTCTTTCATCCGTTTTAGGATATCAACGATTTTGCCCCAGTATTTTCTCAGTCAGAATACTCCTCAAGTATACCTGAAAACTCACAAGAAGGTAATAATCTCTTCTAAATATATTGTTTCCTAAAATTAAAATTTTATAATTTGGAAGTTTTAAAGTTATTTATTTTTACTTTATGTGTTTTATTTTATAATTCTACAGTCATCATATTTCTTTCAATAATTTGTTTTTTAATATCCTTATATATTGTCTTGTCACAAGACACACAAAAAATTACCTTTTTTGGTACCACAAATGTATAATTCAGCCCCATTATCTCCTAGACAGTTTTTATATTTAATATGTAATAAATGTCTGGGTAAGATTACTTTTGTTAAAAATACTTTGAGAGATGGATTTGAAGTGACCACTAGGTCAGTGTGTGTTAATGTAACAACTGGAAGTGTTCAAAAAGTCAAGAAAAATGTATAATATGAGTATAACCCAACAAAAAAGCAGTGTTTTGCTTGGTGCTGAATGAGTAAATACTAAATAAATGACAACTAAATGGGCAATTTATATTCGCTTTCCCGCCTGCTTTAAAAGTTGCTGTTATTGAAAAGTTGTATGGGGAAGAAAGGCAGAGGGATACCAAGAGAGAGAGAGATAAAGAGAGAGAGAGAAAGAGAGAGAGAGAGAGAGAGAGAGAGAGAGAGAGAGAGAGAGAGAGAGAGAGAGAGAGAGAGAGAGAGAGAGAGAATGCTGGATAGTTTGCTCCATGACATGGAAGAACATCTGAATCATAAAGGAATGTCAGAAAATAAGAGAACACTGTCGATAGACATGATTACCAACACCACATGGCATTGACTATAAGAAGAAGGGAAAACATTAGGTAAGAGAGGCAGAGGAAGACAGAAATCTGTAAACAGCTTAGAACAGTGGGGCATCAAATAATAATAAATGTAACACTAACTTCATGCAGCACTGTGGCTTAGAGGTTAATGAAATTGCTCCACAACACAGTCTTCAACCAGGGTTTGATTCCCATGGATGGTGGCTTAGAAAAAGGACTGTTCTCCTTGTTTATAGACAGTGGTTTGAGGGTATAACCTTGGAAGGTGATTAAAGTCAGCGCAGTTGACTATGATGGCACTAACCCGAATAATGACCTTATCTATCGCATTGAAAGTGGGGCACTGGACAAGTTTAGGATCAACTTTAAGACAGGAGAAGTACAAGTTGACAAAGGGGCAGAACTAGACAGAGAAACGAGGGCTGAGTATGTACTGACTATTTCAGCTATAGACAGAGGCACACCCTCTCTGTCAAGTACATGCACATTAAAGGTATAAATACATGTTTATAAATTATATCATCATTATTATAGGCACTGCCAGGAAGTGCCAGCTATCAGGCTCCACCATTGACATCTGTTTTCTGTAATTCTGTTAAATTGAACAGTTTTACTTCCATGCAACACTGTCAATACTGTAAACTACAAACTATAAGCTAAAAAAAGTTAAAGTCAGGAGATGTGAACTAGTTTCATTAAACACGACTATAAACCATAAGTGCTCTGCCACAAGTACAGACAGCTGATAAGAAATTGTCCGCCTGTGTCGCCGTCTGCACGCAACTCTGTAGCTACAGCCACATTCCTCCATTTACCCCAGAGCGTTAACTCTGGTACCCATTTCCTAGAGGCTGGATAAACTCCAGGAACCACTCAGTTTCAAACACTGGCCGTAGGCTGCAGTGAGTCGCAGCTGGATTTGAAAGTGAGTCTCCTATCAACTTTACTAACATGGCCCCCTGTAAAACTATAAGCTATTAAACTACAATAAACTACAAGCATTCACTAATGGATGCTTGTGAAGAATTAAGGGAATTAAATGGTATGACAGAATCACTAATGTAGAGCATTGGGAAAGAACTAAACAAGTTTCAGTGAACCAAGAGGTGAACAAAAGATGCTGGCATTGGATAGGACACAGATGGAGAAAACCAGAGAACAATTTAACTGGAACCCACAGGGCATTGAAAAAAGAAGACCAAAAAAAAAACACTTAGAGAAGGGAGGTAGAGAGTGAAGTTAAAAATATGGGAAGGACATGGGAAGAGCTGCATGTGAAAGCGAAGGCTAGAGTGACTTGGTGTGAGTTGGTTGAGGGCCTATGCTCCACTGCAGGCTAGAAAGGCAGAAGAAGAAGAACGCTGTCAACCCATCAAATATTTTCTTTCTTTCTCAACCTCAGCATCTATTCCCATTAGGGTTCTGGGGTCCCATTGTAGGGGAAAACAAGAACAGACCCACTGCCTTCCCTGTAAGCATATCGTAAGAGTCAACTAACTGGGGGCATCCTTTGAAGTTGTAGTGCATCTGCTTGAGCGGCAAGGAACCAGCAGACTGCATACATATAAAACAGATCTGTAAAATGTTATGTGCACGTGACACTCAAGTTCTGGAACAAAACAAAATCCATAGGTGGACAATCAACCAGAACTTTCTGCCAGAGTCTCTAGCCGCTAAATGCGAAGAAGAAGAGCCTCAGCTCATTTCTAACCCCATCCACCATTTTCTTCTATTGTCAACCTTTAGCATCTTTTAGATCTTGTCTAACAATTCTTTCTATTTTAAACTTTAGCATCTTTGCTAACTTATCCAACACTTCTCTCTATGTCAGCCTTTAGCATCTTTTAGATCTTGTCTAACAATTCTTTCTATTTTAAACTTTAGCATCTTTGCTAACTTATCCAACACTTCTCTCTATGTCAGCCTTTAGCATCTTTTAGATCTTGTCTAACAATTCTTTCTATTTTAAACTTTAGCATCTTTGCTAACTTATCCAACACTTCTCTCTATGTCAGCCTTTAGCATCTTTGCCAACCCATCCAACATTTTATTTCTTTGTCAGCCTTTGGCAAGAAAAGTCTCTTTGCTTGTTTGTCTAGACAGGAACGTTGCACCTAATGAGATACAACAAAATATGCCAGGCAGTAAATTGTACAGTGCATTGCTTGAATCAGTATTATTTGAAATCAAATAGTATACTTTTAATTCACTTCGGTGCAGTTTATCATAATTACATTAGGGTCACATCCAGTGATGGATTTAATGATCAACAATAGAAAAGAAACAGGAAAACAAGAAGAAATGATATTAGGCCATCAAAGATAGTTCTTCTTCTTCTTCTCTTCCACCTTTTACCTCATCGAAGTGTCAGGGGGAGATGTAATGTTTGTTGATGAGCTCTGTCAAAAGCACTATTAAGGATGATGTTCATTTCTGTAAGGCTGTTCTTAATGCCATCACTCCATATTTTCTGAGGTCTTCCACTTGCTCTATACCCGTTGTAACGTTTTAGTGTGGCTCGCTGTAGCAGATAGTACCAGGGCATTCTTGTTAGGTGTCCAAACCACTTCATTTGTTGTTCTTTGATGACCTGTAAGACTGGCTTTATTCCTAGCATTCATCTGATTTCATGATTTTGTATTCTGTCTTTCCTTGAAACCCCTGCAGCTCTTCTAAGGCATTTAATCTCTGTTGTCACAATTTTACATTCATTGGAGGATGTAAGGTAAGTGTCCACGTTTGGCATTGATAGCACAGAGTTGGCCAAAAAATAGTTCTGATAAGATTCACTTTAGTACTCCGAGGTATCTGCTTGTGTGTCAACAGGGGAGATAGTTGACCCATTACTTAATTAGCTTTGGCACATCTGGAGCTAATTTCTCTGTCCAGTTTTCCGTCGGATGTAAAAATCGCTCCCAAATACTTAAATTCCTCTGTTTGATCAAAGATAGTAAGTAAATAAAAGGACCCTTTTCACATTTTAAATAACAAGGTGTTTTGAAAGTATATTTTGTTTTACTACTTGAAATTAACACACAGTTATCTGGAGTGCTATGTACAAGACAAACATACACAACACTCGCCAATGTGTCTTTTCCTATGTCTCCCAAGTGAGCTGTCTGCCGGCTTTAATGTTTACATTTTGCTGTGTATTGCAGAAATATTTTGGCATAAATTCCAACACTGGTGAAGTGTTTGTGCTAAATAACTTGGATCGAGAAACTGCAGTTCGAGTCATTCTTGAGATTATAGTGCATGATAAAAGGGCAACTGTTGGTGACCAGACTGCCAAAGGTAGGGTGCATATGTCATCTTTAAAAAAAAAACAAGAATTACAATTAACATATTAACTTCAGTAGCAGTCAAATGATTCTTTAACTTAATCTTTTTTCTGCCTCAGGTAACACATCCTGTATGGTTAGCTATTCTCTGGGTGTACTGAGTAATGCATGGCATTTTATTATATAATAGTATTGGTCTGAGATTAAGGTATTCCTCATTATGTGCAAACTAACTACACATTTTCTCTGAAACAACACAATTTGGGCAAAAAACCATGAGAAAATTGAACTGTACAGTAATTGTTGCAGCCATTATGTACGTTGGTGATGTGACTTTTTGTGGTGCTTGCACCAGCTGGTCACATCTTATCAGTGTCAGTGTCACATAAAGTATTAGGCCAGCTAGACCTGTTGCTGTAAAACAAAGATAGTTCGTTTATTTCAGGAGAAAAAGAATTCAGCCTAACTGTGACAAAAATGGTTCAAAATGTTAAGAGACAGAGAAAAGCTGTAACACTGGAGGAAAAATTATCAGTTGTAAAAAGTTATAAATATAATTAATGCACTGTTGACATTGTGAGAGCTTAAGGACTGTCAAACCAACATTAAGAAGCATCAGAAATGAAGTAGATAAAATAAAATAAAGTTGTTAAAGTGCACTGAGAATGACAATAGTTAAAATAACATAAATTAGGGAATCAAAGCAATTTTTCCCCTGTTGTCAATTTGAGCAAAGAAGACACAAACAATAGATTGCACAATTTATTGCCTAGCATATTTCACTGTATCTTGTCAGGAGCATACTATAGTAATAATTACATAAATGAAGAAAAAAAGTGAATCCTTTATAACTGAAGTACAATTTCAACAACGATCAAACACAGCATGACTGGCTGTTTTTACCAGGGCAGCTGTAAAGAAAGAACTATCTCTTTTTGAATGCAGAGTTCTGGGCGCAGGTGACGAATTGCGGGTGCTTCGAGAAATCTTAGCTTTCTGCCATTCGTTGACATATGAAAAATTTGAAATGCGTCATTTTTATACATACGTGACGAGATACAGCGAAATTTGCCAGGCAATCTTCTTCTTCTTCTTCTTCGATCCTTCTGTCAGAAAACTTATATCAGGAGGCCGGTAGCCTTTATGAAAGCTATCGTGCAATCCATATCCTCTTGTGTACCATACAGTTTTGTCTTCATTGTGGTTGGAACAGGCCAGATTGCGTCTCTGTTGTCAGCATACAGTTGACAGTGTTGGAGCACATGCTCAGCATTTTCGGGTGCCACGCTGCAGGGACACGTCTGCGTATTTCCTACACCGAAAAATTTGTACATATGTTGACGAAATCTGTTGTGCCCTGTCCTTAGTCTGAATATAATAGACTGTCCCTCTCTAGAGAGGCGATGAAGTGAGTCTTGGGGAGAAAATCTGGTGTGGGTATCCAGCCACCTTTCTTGGATACTAGATTGTATTAGTGTTTTCATCTCTTGGTGGGTTAAGTCGCTATTTGGTTGTACCATGTCACTGCCGCTTCTGGCCAATCTGTCCGCTATTTCATTGCCTTCCAAGCCACAGTGACCTGGAATCCACTGTAGTACAGATTGTTCTACTAAAGAGCCTAAGTAAATCAGCTGTTGCGTCAAGTCTACAAACTGAGTGTCTTTTGGGTTAACAATTGCTTGTAGAACTGACATAGCATCAGTCAGAAAGACCACTCTGCTATATTTGCTGTGCTGTTGTCCATTCAGGAAAGAACATGCCGCTAGAAGTGCTTCTGCCTCTGCTCTGTAATTGGAGGAATATGAACCTGTTGGTACAGCCTGGTTGATTTTTAAACCATTTGGGCATTCTATGTATATTCCTCCTCCTCCGTCTCTTACTGCTCTCTTGGCTGAACCATCTGTATACACTCGAATCCAACTCTGGTGTGGGTAAAGTCTATTGATCTCTCCTTCTGTAGTTGATTTCATATCAGTGCAATCTATTGTTTGTGTCTTCTTTGATCAAATAAATTAGGGAACCAGTTATAGATAAATTTAAAAAAGGATGTTGGTCCATTGGATTAACCGTAAGAATAATGTAGCATTTCTGTATCCATTTTTTGATTGAATGTTGTAAAGTTGGTTTCTAAAGGGCCATCTTTTCTTGTTAAAATCAATTCGCTTTACATGTTTTTGTGTTACATAATTTTTTTCCTGGAATGAATTAATAGCGTATGGTCAGGGATACCTGTACTACTAAAATCTGGCTAAATATTTTAACGTGTAGCACAGTAAATGGACACATACCACCTCCCTCCTTTTCCCCCATTACACTTATTACCTCTCTTTGACATTTTCTATAAAATGTGAATGGAAATGAAAAGTAACCCCAGTAGTTGTATGTGTGTATGTAAGATGTACCCCACCAGGACATTCCACAAGCAATAAACACCTGGTGACACAAAGTGCCACCATGTGGATGAGGATAATCCGTGGAGAGGACCGGAAACCCTGTTAGGTCATTTTTTAGACCCAGCTATATTTAGGGCCCTTGACAAAAACCAGTTTGGGGCTTCAAAATAATTAAAAATTGCATTCCACAAGGGGATGACCCTAATAATTGAAATGTCACTTTTTTTTTAAAAATGTATGTATTTTGATAAGGAGGTGAATTGTTCAAAGTAGTCAATCAGGTGCCATCACAATGAAGTTGAATAATTATAATTTCTACAGTGTTTAAAAGGAAATGCCTAATGCAGTGAAATTATTGTTTAACTCTAACTACAATAAATTGTTGCAGGAACGTTGTCTGTCAGGATTCTGGACTACAATGATAATGCACCAGTTTTTCTTCCGTCATCAACATACAAGGTGAATGTGTCAGAAGCAGACAGTGCTCAGTCCATCTTGCTACAAGTGTCAGCCATTGATGTAGATGAAGGCCAGACTGTCAGTTACAGCATTGGAAATGGCACCGTCAATTCGTTTGCTATAAGCAGTGATGGTAGGTTTCATCTGGAAAGCTTCAGAATACAGAAAAAATTTTCTTTTTGTGTTAACAGTTTTTTTATAGATCATTGAAATATGCATTCTTTCCTTGTCCCACCTAAAGAAAAATGAAAATACAAAAACAGAATTTTGATATTTTATTAACTGACGATACAATTTTCTTGATTATGAAAATTTTTTTTTTTTTAACATCTTTTACCCCAGAGAGTCAGCAAAGTAACTGTAGACTTGAATAATTAGTTTTCAAGGGCAAATGCTCAATAAGCAAATAAAAAAGCAAGAGATTAACTCTTTTCATGTGTTCATAGGTTCCTAACTGTCTGATGTTAAATCCCCAGGACTGAAAGAGTTGACATCTAAACACATACACACACATTTTTTTTAAAGTATTCAATTTGTTAAATTAATCTTAAACTTGTCCTCTACCAGGCACAATTCATTTAATTTCAATGCTTGACCGAGAGACTCATGAACGAGTAGAGTTTCAAGTGATTGCCAAAGACAACGGCGTCCCTCCACTGGTGTCCACAGCAACAGTCAGTGTCCTTGTCCTTGATGCCAATGACAACCAGCCGGTTTTCAGCCCGTATAACATCACATTCAAGACTTCTGAAGACGCCATTGTTGGATCTGTGGTTACAACATTCATTGCAGCAGATAAGGACAGTGGTGATTTTGGAAAAGTATTTTACAAGCTGGCAGGCCCAGACAGTGCTGAGGGAAGCTTTGTTATTGGCGAAGACTCAGTAAGTTACAATTTTTGTATTCTGATTGTGTATAAGAGAAAAGAGTTCATCTGCTGGAAAGCTGTGGAGATGCAAATAATTATTTTTTCATACCACTTTGGCTTTAGGGTTTTAAAAATGCCATTTTAAAAATGCTGTGTTTTGTTTGCCAAATAGACAAGAGGTCTTTGAGTTTAATGATTTAGATTGCATGGACTGTAGTAGATTGATGCTTGCCTGCGGTTCCAAAGGTCGTGGGTTCAAGTCCTGACAGAGACAGATAAAAAAATTTTTGTGTAGAAAAATAACCTTGGCTTCCTGGTTGACCCAGACTCAAATGGGTACAAGGTAAAGTTCTGGGAAGTAAAGACGGCCGTTGTGAAGTTGAACACATGACCCCACCGAGTGCTGACTGGTCTATAAAATATAAGTCTAGCCCTGTATGCCCAGTACACCTGAAGGCATGGAAAAGTGTTAACTTTTAATCCCTTGATTGCCATGACACAAAGCCTCGAGGAATATTATAGTGATAGCCGTCCCACTAACTAACTTGATGCCTTGTTATAATCACTGCCTATTTCGGCCCATGACTAATTTTTCATTTTATTTATAGCAAGGAAAAAAAGGGCTTTTGTTTTTTTCTTTTTTTACGTCTGTGATGCATCAAGTATATGATGCCATAATCATATTTTTATGCACAAATTGATGTTAAATGGGTGATATAGACAGCATCACACTGGTCACCTTTACTTTCCTGGACATTATCTGGTACCGTTTTAGGCTGGGTCGACCAGGCAGCCAAGGTTAGTTTAAAAATAAAATCAATACTTGATGCAATTTGAACCCTAGATCTTCAAGCAGACAAGTGAGCATGTAGCCACTATGCTATTGCAGCTACCAATCATATGAGGGAGCCTCAAACACTGTGCTGCTCCTCTTTGGTGCCTTTATAAATGGAGTGGCAATTTTTAAACTGTCACCACCATGTTTGTCTGCATTATGTTGTCATGTGCTTAACACCCTTGACATCCTTAACAACAGTATTGACAGGTTGCAAGGCAATGGCTTGGTTTATTGTAACTTCTAACAACACTTTTAAAGCTTACATGATTACCTGTTATATCTAGAAGTCAAAACCATCATCTATTATGCAGTAAAAGCACCTAGTAGCAGGACAAACTGCACACCCTAGAAGTTATCAACTAAATGTATGCATTTATTGTTTGTCATTTCTGCACCCACAGGGCAAGCTCACTGTTGCTAAACAACTGGACAGAGAAACAAAAGCCGAGTACAGGTTTGAAATTGTAGCCAGCGACTCTAAGAACAACGAAACTGTCAGGAAAAGCACCAGGTCAGAGGTGGTCACAGTGGTCATAGCTGATGTGGATGACAACCCTCCTATCTTCACCAGTGTAGTTCCACAGGAACCTGCTGTCCCTGAATCACTGACTCTCAATCAGACTGTTGCAACTGTTGCAGCCGAGGATGCCGATGACAAGAACACTGACAGTGGTCTTGTTCTGTAAGTTTTGTCAAGGTGTTTTGTCTGTGTTCGCAAATATAAATGTTTATTAGAGATGAATATGATACACAGCAAATTGTGAAGCAAGATATAGATATTGGATTGGTACAAGTGGGAAGTTAACCTAAAGAGGCAGTGTACATCTAGGGAGAAGTTGTATCAGAGATCCATTGCAGCTAACTATCATTGTGAAGATATCATCTGACTGACTGAGAGAAAGGAATTGAGTTAATAAAAATTAAACAGTTCCGGTGATGATGGCTGAATGCACCAGCTCTCAAGATTACTACTAAGATGTTTCTATGATCATGAGAAGAGTAAAAAGGCAACAATTACTCATGATCAGTGTTAATTTATAGGGGGCACAAAGAATAGAATACATTTCAAAAATATTAAGAAGAGCTGAATGTTGTATTGAAAATTGACATCACTGCACTATGGACACTCCCATAAGTGCTCCATCCCCATCTTCAGCAGCAAGTGAAGAGTTCCAATTCTGAGGCACTGATAACTGTCTGATTTTGTTTTTTTTCTATCTCACATTTGCCTTGATTGTTAAGCATTTTCCAGATCCCCTGGTAATTCATCATAGCACCATTCTCCTCGGACTGTAATGATCTACTTTTGCATCAACACTGCTCAGTCACTCCGAAAGCTCCCGTACATCATCTAGCTTGTCATGCATCAGTTCACCACCACATGGTGCAGAACCAGCTATTCTCTCTGCCTGTTTGTTTCCTAGCACACTGACATAGCCTGAAGAAAATATCTAAAGGATGCTAAATACCCAGTACCTCTGAAGCAATACTTGCCACTCTGCATGAAGCGTACCTGTCTCCACCTTTCTCAGCATGCTTCTTGAGTCAGTTACAATTATAATATATGTGTACAGATGGTTTTCAAGCCAGAGTTATATAACCAGCATGCCTCAAAGCAAGGAAATATGTCTTCTGCTTCTGCTGACTGCATAATAATTTATTTATTGTGTTATATTTGCAGTTACTATTTGACAAGTGAAACAAATGCTACTAGGAAGGACAACTCAACACTCTTCAAAGTTGACTCCAAAACTGGTGAGATTAAGGTGGCTTCCTTACTGAAAGGCTACTCGGGGATCTTTTATGTCACTGTGATGGCCACAAATAAGTTACAGAATTTTCGACCAACCAAGCGGATTGTCATTAAGATCTTAGATGTCAATGATTACCATCCAAAGTTTGTCAAGCCAAATATGGATGGTTCTTTGGCTTATGTTTTAGAGGTTTGTTATTCTTTGTAATTTATAGAATTGTCACAACTAAAGGGAAATGTGATTTCTTTGGAATTGAAAGCTATAGTGCTTTGAAAATGAGATTACAGAATATGAGAGCATCTTACTAATTTCAGATTGTGTGTGTGTGTTTGTCTATGAAAATTGTTCTGTGTGTTTTGTGTATGAAATGTATGGTCATAAGAAGATTACAAAATCTGTTTTTTAAAAGTAAAAAAGGGGGGGGGGGGGCACGACCTAAAAAAAGGCTTACTACTTTAGATAGAGTTGAGAAAAAAAAAAGATACTAAAACAATTTACTAATGATTATTTAATTTCTGTGTGCAGAATTCAGAGAAGGGAACTTCTGTGTTCACATTAGAAGCTGTTGATGAAGACACTGGACCAAATGGAGAAATACATTATTCTATCATTCCAAATTCAAATAACAAGAAAGATGGGTCTAATACTTTTGAAGTAGATGCACTATCAGGCTTGATAACTACTAAAGGAGATTTAAATGCTGAAGTATTAGACAGATATGAGGTAGGTACATTGTGGTTTCTTTGATGCAGTAGTAGTAGTAGTTTACACAGCGATTTCCTGTTCAGTCCAGGTGGGTTAATGTAGTGGTAGTAGTAATTTACACAGCGATATACTGTTCAGTCCACGTGGGTTACAGTTAGAGTTATAGAATTTATTCTTCCATTTTGATATTGGATATTCATGCTTGTCAGATAATGTGTTTGACATGTTTTAAATGTCCCAGCCACTAGTGAAAATGCAGGCAGACCAAACTGCACCTAAGACTTTTTACAGCCTGGGAGAAAGGCAAGAGAAAGATCAAGAAAGAAATGGATAAAGGGTGCGAAAAGATAAAAAAATCCATCACCCAAGCCACCTGAAAAGCAAAAGACAAATACAGAAACTCATGATACTGGGATACAACCTAGTATCAGTGAGACACACAAAAAGAAAGAAGATAATGTTTTTTTTTTTTTTAAATATAGCATGGCTGGCACCTTTCCGTCTTTCCAGAAGATAGTGTTATATAGAGACACAGCAATCACTGCCCGTGACAATGGCTAGTGTGGAGCAAGATCTTGCATTGAGAAAAGTCTTCCATGATTACAGCATGGGCATACATATGGTATAGATTATGTATTATTTGTAATAGGTTTTAGGAGTATAGATTTTCAACTTTCATATTTTTTTACTGTATTTTTTAAAATACTGGTGATATTCTTATATATTTTAATAATTATATAGTGTTATCTATCTTTGGGAATACTTAAATTGATCTGGGATAATACCCTTCTGTCATGAGATAAATACCACCTTAAACACTAACCTTTGTAATTAAGTAATAGAAATATAGTGTCAAGTTTATTTATTCAGTGATTTAGAGGTTTAAAGAGAGATAATAGTGACCACATTTTTCTGTGGTAGCTTTAAAAAAACTGTCTTTATTACCTTATATGGGCAACTAACTAGCGGCTAGATGCTCACCTGTGGACCCGAAGGTCAAGAGTTCAGATCTGCATGGAGCTGGATTTTTTTCAAAAAAGTTTGACTAGCCATAAGTGGGCACAAGGTAAACTCCTGGGAAGTACAATCAGGTCATCCCGGACTTGCTCCTTTCCTGTGGCAGTAAAAATCAAATGAAATCTCCTTGACTGTCCCATTTGAAAAACTGGTGAACAAACATATAGACCTGGCACAATCCATAAATATACGCACACTGTAAATACATATGCCAAAGCCAACAGCTGCCACCAGAAATGCCACCAGTCTATCAGTATACAGGGTCTCCTCAACGTACCACTAAGTTCTGTTCTGACTAACAGATCATAAGTTAAACTGGTCATAAGTTGAATTTATATTTTCAACACTATTTCATTCAAAAGGGCTATACAAATTGTATATAAAACACATAAATTCAGTCTTTGTGTGTACAGTTATTGTACATAGGCATCTATGTACACATTAGAAGTCAGTTCCAAGACCTTATCTTTATTGACTATTTTTTTAAAACTAATTCTTTGTAGTCACAAGTGCAGACAGCCATAGGTGGCATAAGTAATAAGTCGAGGAGAAGGTGCATTCACAAACAACTTGAAGAAACTCTTTCTATCAATACAGCTAACCATTCAGGCTACAGATCAAGGGTACCCAGACCCTTTCAGCACCTCAGTGACCTTGTTCATTGTAGTTCTTGACAAGAATGACCACAAGCCAGAATTCAGTGGCTACTCTGCACCTTATTTCATCAACATGGTGGAGAACAAGGCTGTCTGTGCAAATGTCAGCCTGGCCATTGACAGAGATTTGAACACAACATATACGTCTATCTGCTACTATTTAATCGGTAAGTTTGGTTTTCAGTTCTTCTTCTTCTCAGTTCTTCTTCTTCTTCTTCTTTGCATTCATTGGTTGTAAACTCCAGCAGAAAGTTATGGTTGGTCATCTACTTTTAGACCTTCATCCTGTTCCTGAATCTGAGATTTGCGGGCACATCTGTTTTACAGACCTTGCTTACATGTATATAGACTGTTGGTTTCTTGCACTCAGGCGGAGGCACTCCCACTTTGAATGATACACCCCTATTTGTTGATTTTACTACATGCTTGTTAGGGGGCAATGTGTCTATTCCCCACCCCCTCCCACTTTTACACCCAGGAGTGCATCAGACTAAAAGGCAAGGCACCAACAGTCTGTATACAAATTATCTAAACCTGTAAAGTGGATGTGCACAAACAACTCTAGTTCTGGATCAAAACCAAAGTCCAGGAGTGGACGAACATCCAGAACTCTTCACCAGAGTTTACAACTGGTAAACACTAATGAAAAGAAGAAAAGAATGCTAAGAATATCACGAACAGAGACAACAAAAAGAAATTAAAAATTAAATACTAACAGGAGGTTAATGTGACTTCTTTAGTTTCAGACTGTTATGACTATTATGAAAAATTATTTATGTGTATAAATAAGAACATTTCCTCATGCCATTTACCTTTTGAATATCTCTGAAGGTTCTTCGTTGATGGATACTTTCATGTTAAACACACAGACAGGCATGCTGTGTCTCAACAAAACACTGGACAGGGAGACAACACCCATGGCAGACATTGTGATACAAGCTCTTGAAGATTGTTACAGGTGCACTTTTTTTTTTTTTTTAACATACCATTGCTATAGTTTTGCTATAGAGTCACATGAAAGATACAGGTATTGAGGTGGTTTCAAGACAACAAGATGCCATGGATTGCTTTGCAGGGGGAAAAGGGTGAGGAAATTAATAGATAAGAATAGGGACGAGATAGAATAGGATTATTGCAAACAGTTTAAGAGCTGAGCATCTAGGGGAAAACTAACAAAACATTTAGAATACATGTGATGGCAACAGTGGTCATGAAATGTCTTGCATTAACTGTGAAAGATTCTTCTTTAACATGAACCATTCTTGCTTGTCAAACTGTTATACCCCTTTGACGTGTGTCGAGGTTCCAATATCACTGCAGACCGGTCACCCCATAACTGCTCCATTCCTGTGCCAGTGAAGATCACACTAAATGCCTTTCACTGTTGCATTTAGAAACTAGTGAAAAAAGCTCAGGCGGCAGTCAGATGTGCCAACAACAATGGTCCCACTCCAGAATCACAGCTCACTGTTGGTGCAGATAGTCACTCCTGAAAGCATTGCACCAGCAAAAGTATATACTATTTTGAACATAATCAGCCACCCTCCATTTATTCCTATTCTTCACTTTAATCAGGAAAGATGGAAAAGTACCAACATGCCTTAGTCTAATTTATGTTTTTATGGCCCATCCCTGTGTATGTTCAACATACAAATAAGTCGGATCTGTCAAATGTATGTGCATGTAACACTCTGGTTCTGGAACAAGTCTAAAGTCCAGAGGTGGGTGAACAATCAAAACTTTCAGTTGGAGTGTACAGCCGGTGAACATGAAGAAGAAGAAGATGATGATCCAAAATCGTCACAAAGAATTGTAGCTGGGATTGAAAGGGTTTCAGGTGAGACTCACTCTACTGCTTTGGGTTTTATCACATCTGGATTAGTCTTTCCTTTCAGGATGGATGACCACCTACAGTGAGCATCAAACAAAGCTTGAACTCTATAGCTTCAGCTGTCAACTTAAGAGTGCAACAAAATTTTAAAATTTTTTTAATTAACTCTTTGAGTCCCAGAGGGTTTAGCATCACAGGCCCAAGGGGTTGTCAAAAGAGACGTAAAATCAGCGCATCATGCGTTTATTGGACTTCTAGGCAGTAAACTATGAACGTATGATGTGTTTCTTGGGACTCAAAGAGTTAAATGACTGCATTAATACAACATTTCTTAAGTTATAGTTACTTTAGTTTCTGAAATAAATTTTTTTTTTTTTCCCTAAAAAATTCAGGTCTGACATCAAAACTGACAAAATACATCCCCTAGAACCTGGCGAGCTTTATCCACCCATGTACCAGCCTTCTAATACAGACAAACTCTGGATTGAAATACAGGTATGTTTTCATGTTCGGAAATAATGAGGACATAAACAATATTTTTTCACTATGATTGTTTGAGACACAATTTGTTTTTTCCAAAATACAAGGCTGCCGCAAAATCCTGGGTTAGCATATTTCACTGGTGTCGGACATCAATAGTGCAAACTGCACCAAAACAGGTGATCTATAGTCAGCATATAATGAAACATAAAAAGAAATCCTTTAAATCAAAATTTTCGAATAATTATGTGAGTTTCACTATGATTGTTTGAGACTAACCACTTGATCCTGTTTTTTCCAAAATACAAGGCTGTACACGCAAATAGTGAGTTGAGTTAAGTCAAGAATTGACATCACAGCACTTAGGGCATTCCCATGTGTACTCCATCCTTATCTTCAGCAACCAACGCAGAGTTTCCATACTGATGGTACTGGTCACAATCTGGTTATATCTGTCTTGCCTTTCCTCTGAGTGTAGTGAGCTGGCCAGACCCTCTGGTTACACCCAAGTGCCTCATTCTCTCCAGGCCATAATAAATAATAACTAAACTTTTAAATGATATTTATAACAGTGGGTATATTCCAAATGACCATTTTGTTTCTCTACTGATTCCGTTGCTTATTCCCAAAATCCAGCTATAGAAGTAAAGACTGATTTGTACTTATGCTTCATATGTGAAGACATTGCACAAGCATGACTACATCTGCCTTGTCATGTATCAATGAGGCAAATAGTGATTGCTTCAGAATACCTCAAAATAAACTTAACATCGTGATAAATTCAAGGAAATCTGCTTTGTATTTTTTGTTTATTCAATTTTTTCTCCTCATGTCAGTAACTTATTTTCTGCTTATTAACCAGATTCCCTAGTCAGCATTTCTCTAAAAGCAGCCAGCAGTTTCATCATCATCATCATTATCATTATGTGGACTAATAGACTGCAATGGTTGGGGCATAAAGAGGGAATGGCAGATTTAAAAATAAAGAGACAAAAACTACATACACAAAAGTGTTGAATTGAAGTAGACCATGAGGAAAAAGAAAAAAGATGGAGAGATAATATACAGGCAGACCTACAAACACTAGAAAGATAAGACCAATTACAAAGATAAATGGAGACGAGTGATATCTGCAGCTATGAACTGCAACGGCCTGGAGTGGTGAAGAAGAAGAAGTATTATTGTACCATCACAGCGCTAGTGAAATAAAAGCTAGCGCAGAGTTATACTGATGGGGTCACAATCTGGTTATAGTTTTTTGAGTGTAGTTTCAGAGCTTCTGTTTTACCCAAGTAGGTTCTCCAAGGTTTCTCTACTGATCACTTTGTTGGGGAGAAAACTTAAGGTCCCTTGCCCTTAAACAAAGTATGTCATAAAAGGCGACTAATGAAAGCTTTGTTGGAACTGGATTTATGGCGTAAAGACACAGATAGCATAGCCTGGTTGTAAAAAAACAAAACAACACAAAAGTGTGTCTACTGCCTTTTATACAAGGACAAAACACAGTAGAAAAGATAAATGGAGAGTTTCAATTTTGAACTGTTTTGATTATTTATTGTAACTTTATTATTTTGTTTCATTAATTTATATTTGTTGAAAATGTTAAAGGTGGATGACATAATGACAACCCTCCAAAGTTTCACAGCAAAGATCTGGCTCTGGGAGTCACACGTGTCACTCAGTATGGCAAATTTATTTTGGATTTGAATGTAAGATCATGCAGCTTTTGAGTACATTTCTTTAAATTAGAGGCCCTACCAGTAGTATAGTATTGATGATCTGTCTATGGTGTTGCTCGGTTCTTTAAATTAGAGGCACTGCCAGTAGTATTGTATTGATGATCTGTCTATGGTTGGGTTCGTTCGTCTCGCCCTGTGATGATCCCAGTTTTCAAAATGTAGGCCCCTGAGTAAACTAAATATAAGAGCCCTTGTCTAGACAGTACACTTATCTACCAGTTCAAAGGTCTTGGCTTTTAATATCCAGTTTCGTCCTTTTTGGACTAAATTTTTTGTTATTTGAAGCCCCACCCTGGCTTTTGCCAGGGGCAGCAATATAGGCAGGCCATGCATATGGCCAATTGTCTAAACGGGGTTTCTGGGACCTCTCCAAGGCGATCCTCAGGTGTTTATCGCTTGTGTGATGTCCTAGTGGGGTAGAAAGTCAGTCAGTCAGTCTTGGCTTTGATCCTGCATCAGGTGGATTTATTTTAGAAATGACCTTGGTCAACCCAACCTAGAATGGATGCCAGGTAATATCCTAGGTAGTAAAGGTGGCTGGTGTGATGCTGACAACCTGACCCGTCAAAGGCCCTTTGGTTTATAAATATATTGATCTAGCATCATATACCTGCTGATGTTGACGGAGCCAGACTTTTTTCAAAAATTACCGTGCCTTCCGGGTTAACCCAGCCTTGAGTGGGTACCAGGTGCAGTCCTGGGAAGTAAAGGTGGCCAGCGTGATGCTGACTACATCACCCACCTAGTGCTGATTGGTCTATAAAAATATAGGTTTAGCCATATATTCCCAATATGCCTAAAGACGTGAAAAAGAGTGCTTTACTTTACTTCACTGATGTTCTAATTCTTTTTGTGTGTTTGTTGTCCTAAGCAACTTATGGTGTACGATTAACTTGTGCCCTTGAATCAGAATCATCACTTGTGTTTTCTTACATTTTTCATGTCAGAGCATAAAAAAGATTTATGGCCTATTCAGACACTGGTTTTTGGGGTACGAAATATGAGTACTTTACGTGGGCATTTCTTTTCTGGTGATACACAACGGTGTGCAGTACCAGCACCTTCAGGCATTATTGGTATCAGTGTTACTGTAATAGGGACTCTGTGGTATATGGTTAGTTGTGTATCCTTTACAGGACGTTGCAGAACCAACCCCAACAGCCCCTGGCTGTTGTGTGGTTTTTCTAGGCAGATTTACGTCCAGTAGTTTGCCATTGCTTGCTGGACGGTCGGCTTTCTTGAGACCACTGTCGAAACCAACGCAAGGCACATGGCCTGCATCTGGGATCGAACCCGACATCCTGGCATTACGAAGCGTTCGCATGGACTTAGCTACAGGCACTTTTTTTAGACACTGTGGTGATTATCAGCACATAATTTAGTTTTTCTAGAAAAAAAAACCCATAAGCTTTACACATTCTAAGCCATAGCTAATAGAATGAAATTGTTGGGACATATTGATAAAATGTCAGATGACAGAGAAGTAAAAACTGTATACACAAGAGAGATGAATGGTCGTAGACCACAAGGCCGACCAAGAAGATGATGGAGAGATAATGTCCAGAAAGTGTCCAACTGGAAAGAGAAGACCAACCAGAGAGATGAATGGAGGCATTGAAGAAGAAGAAGCCATAGCATAATGAGGTGAAATGGCTCTTCCTCCTTTGCTAACTGTGCTCATGGCCTCATTCAATACATGTAGATCTATGGTAGATAGTAGCTTTCAGTTGTGAAGTGATAGGCATTTACTCATTTCATACTATGGCACAATGAGATGGGATGGCCAAGTGCCTTCAAAAAGATTTCTAGATAATTCTAAATATTGTCTGGTAAATGTAATTTCAGAATTGACCCCCCCCCCCCCTAACTGCCATGCAGAAAGGAACATAATAATTCCTCCACAGGTCATTCAATGCAGCATAGTTAAACAATATGGCTGTGGTAGTGATGATAAATGTGGTTTGATCCATTAAAGTCAAATTCTTTTTATTGCTTGTATTTACAACTGTTTAGAGTGGTTGGGGGGGGGGGGGGGGGGGGGGGGGGGGGGGGTATGGTCTTTAGCCTGAGAATTTAGGCCAGCAGAAAAAAAACAATCACTTTACAGAAGACTTGAACCTGGTCTATTAAACGAGAGCCCAACTTTCTTACCTACTTGGCCAGTCACTCCTCCATACATATGAACACACACACACACACACACTTACCTACACACACAAACTCACACACACACATGCACACACATACGGCATGCATGCAAACATGCATGCACGCGCGTGCATACACACATAAATATTTTAGTGTTGAACGTAACTGAATGTTTTAGAGCACACACAGTCATGAACAACCTAGATAGCCTGTTCTCTGAAATTATATTCAGGTGATAATCTGATAACGAATGCTAGAAATAAAGCCAGTCTTACAGGCCATCAAAGAACAACAAATGAAGTGGTTTGGACACCTTACAAGAATTCCCTGGTACTATCTGCCACAGCAAGCCATACTAAAACATTACAATGGGTATAGAGCGAGTGGAAGACCTCGGAAAATATGGAGTGATGGCATTAAGAACAGCCTTTCAGAAATGAACATGTCCTAATTGTGCTCTTGACAGAGCTCATCAACGAACATTACATCTCCCCCTGACACTTCGATGAGGTGGAAGAGAAGAAGAAGAAGAAGATACTCTGATAAATAAAAGGCTTGCATGCAACATTAGTTAGTTACTTCATAAATTGAAACCTTGTCTACAACAATAATTTGTTACTTGATATGTCTTTGTTTCCCGTTCTTGTTTATCCCAGGAAAATGTGGCAGACCCAGATTCACCCAGATGGGGGGTGGATTATTTTATAGCAACCTCAAACTTCACCGCTAACCCTGAGGCACTCAAGCAAGAAATTGAAGGTCTGGGCATTGTAGAGCCATTCAAGCTGTTCAGAAATGGATCCGTGAAAACTAACATGTACTTTCAGCCTCAGATGTCTGGCTCCTTCCTTGTGGATCTAAAAGTTTTTGACAAAGGTGGTCTTTGGGATTCAGCTAAACTCAGGGTTCGTACTAATTTAAATGAATGATGACTACTTCAAAACACTGGGGGTGGGGGGGGGGGGGGGGTGGGTGTGGATGGGGGAAGGGGGGCTTTCCTCATCATATTTTCTTTCTAGACAATTCTCATAGAATTATACAAATTGGCTTACAGCCCTTATTTGTTTTAGGCTGGAAGATAAATATACACCCAGGACTAGAAATAACTACATAATGGATAATGTCAGTGATTTCCAGTGTATTACCGGAGCTATTAAAGGAAGAAAATAGAGGAACATTGCAACCTACCATGCATTGTAAAAAAAAAGGGGGTTCTATCCCAGTAACTTTCCCCAAACATGGGAATTCTGCAGGTTACCAGACAGTCTAATATTTCAGGGGGTGTTATTGTGTAGTTTTTCTGTGCTGGGCAGCATGTAGTATTTTTTTGGTGTGCATTTTTCTGTGTGTTGGTGCAGTTTTTGTGTGTGGTTTCTACTTGTTCTTTTTTTCTTGTAGGACGTCGGTGGATTGGGGTTAGGATCAGTTGTGGATGTTTTGGGGCTCGTAGGTGGTTTGGGGTTAGGATCAGTTGTGGATGTTTTGGAGCTCGTAGGTGGATTGGGGTTAGGATCAGTTGTGGATGTTTTGGGGCTCGTAGGTGGATTGGGGTTAGGGTCAGTTGTGGATGTTTTGAAACTCGTAGGTGGATTGGGGTTAGGATCAGTTGTGGATGTTTTGGAGCTCGTAGGTGGGTTGGGGTTAGGGTCAGTTGTGAATGTTTTAGGGTCATTTGGAATATAGAAAACTTGATGTCCCTGACAGGTGACAACAACGTTTTAAAAAAACAAAAACTCTTTGTGCATTTGGGTAAAGTGCCAACTGGGGTACTGTAGGGTAGCCCTAAAAGGGCCAATCATTCTAGATGTATCCTGCTGGTTCAAGCACATATTGGCAGTCAGCACAATTCTTCAAACTGGACTTCATGATGTTAATCTCTGAATATTTTGCAAACTTTATATAGTATTTTATAAATAAGTGCCTGTTGCAGAGCTGATATTAAGAAATTAATTCACTAAATCTAGACTATGGCTAGGTAACCAGTAATGAAGGAAAGGGAAAAAGTAGCACAGATACAACCAGTTGACTCGACTGGAGCCTTTGTGAACAGAAAACAACAAGAAATGTCTAAGCCAGAACCCCAAATATTAGATTCATTTTTCGTTTCTTGGTATTTCTCCATGTAACTCTAAACAACTCATCTATGTTGGACTACATACTTCGTAACTATCTTGTAGTGCTCTAATAGAACTGTGCTGTATATCAATATGATTAAATGGGGTTTCTGGGATTTGTAGCTGTTCAGTTTTTATAGATGAGATGTTAATCCTACAGAATAAAAATCTGGAGGAAAGAAAGATAAAAAAAATGAAAATAAAAAATTAATTTGATCCCGTATTTGGTGGTGTAGCTTCAACTTTTGTCATCTTGCAATATTCATTGATAAAGACCGGTTGTAATGATCATTTGTATCTGTGTGCATCTTTTACATTTTCCTCCATGTTGAGCTTCACCGTCTTGATCTGTGATTAGGTAATTAATTTCTTAAATCTGTGTAAGTGACTTCATGTATGTGCTCTACAATTTCCTGATTACAGATTTCACTTATCAGTGATGACCAGAGATTGATAATTGTGTTCAGAAGAAAAATTGACAACGTGGCTCCAGTCAAGGATGATGTAGCTAGGTAAGTCACATAAACTTTATGTCCAGTAACTGATATGGTGAAACTTGTAGAACAAGCGGGAAGAACCCTTTTGTTTTTTCAGGGACCATTTCAATATTTATAATATCATTTGCAAGCAGTACAAAATTCTTCCTTCTTCTTCCGCTTTTCTAGCCCCAAATGGAGCATAGGCCCTCAACAACTCACGCCAAGTCATTCTATCCTTTGCATAACATGCAGCTCTCTCCATCTTTCTAACTTCATTCTCCACCTCCCTTCTCCATGTATTTTTTGGCCTTCCTTTATTCCTATGCCCCTGTGGGTTCCAATGCAAAGACATTCTAGATATATTGTTCTCCTGGTTTTCTCAATGTGTGTTCTATCCAACACCAGCGTCTTTTCTACAACTCTTGGTCCACTGAAACTTGCTTAGTTCTCTCCCAAAGCTCTACATTTGGATTCAATCATACTATTTAATTCCCTCTATTCTGCGCAGGCACCAGTTATTGAATGTCTGTAGTTTATTAGTAATTGTCCTAGTAAAATTATTAACTTAAACAAAATTAAATTGCTTTATTTGATCTAGATTTTAAATGTGGTTCCCCTTGGCAGATCAGACCAAATGAGTTCACAGGCCTTTTATGGCCCATTGGCCTTCTTAGACTGAAAGACTTAAACAGCTACCTCTTTTATATCTCTGTTGAGGTAGTTGTGAGCATATAAAAATGCATACATATGTGTGATATGTACAATCTTATGTTCCTGAATGTTTTTATTTCCTGTTTACTTATTTTTTAAAATTTATGTCAACTTCAGTCATATCGGATCAAAAGTTGGCTGCCGTATTGTTGTGGATTCCATCCAGACTCATGAGTCAGAAACAGGTCAAGCTGAACTGGGAAAGTAAGTAGTGTGTGTGTGCATTCATGCCCATGTGCCTGCCTGTCTGTCTGTCTGTTTACCTAACTGCTTGCCTGTCTGCCCGCCTGCTTGCCTGCCTGCCTGCCTGCCTGCCTGTCTGCCTGTCTGTCTGTCTGTCTGTCTGTCTGTCTGTCTGTCTGTCTGTCTGTCTGTCTGTCTGTCTGTCTGTCTGTCTGTCTGTCTGTCTGTCTGTCTGTCTGTCTGTCTGTCTGTCTGTCTGTCTGTCTGTCTGTCTGTCTGTCTGTCTGTCTGTCTGTCTGTCTGTCTGTCTGTCTGTCTGTCTGTCTGTCTGTCTGTCTGTCTGTCTGTCTGTCTGTCTGTCTGTCTGTCTGTCTGTCTGTCTGTCTGTCTGTCTGTCTGTCTGTCTGTCTCAAATTAACCTATTGAGTGGAGTGGCTAGCAGGTATTATGTCCACAGCCATAATGAAAATAGCTGATTCACTGTTTGTTTCCACTTTTGTCATCTGCAAAGCTCTGGGAGTCTGCAGAACAAACTCAAGAGATTCCTAAAAACTGTTCCACAAAAATACCCCTTAACTTCAGAATGCAATCCTCCCTGTGTGGGCTAAGGGGCCTCATTTTGAGATTAAGAACAGACAAACATTTGGCTCTCTTATGTACAGTTTTACCTCCCTATCATCTGACCATTTCATCTGCCCCAGCCATGCCAGTCTATTAGCTTTCATGATGCCAGTGATCAGTAGTGATTTAAACAGATTATGAATCTCATTGTTGCTTCTCATTTTCCATTCCTTGCTGTTTGCATCTTTGATGGGTCTAAAGAGTCACCATAAGACTGTTTTGTTGAAAATTTGTAATAAGGCTTTCATTTCTTTTAGTTGTATTCCAACTTTCAAAGCGATATAAAACCACTGGTCTTATGAATGTTTTAAGTAAATATTGTCGTCATCATCATCATGTGCCCTGCCACCTGGCTTAGGCACTCAGTCTTTACTGATCATGATCCCTGATTGCCTGGAACAGCTCTCTTGATGATATCCCTCAATGCCATTGTTTAAGCCCATCCAGCATCGCCTCTCTTGGTTTGCCTCTACCCCTTTTCCACTGATCCAGCTTTTTTCCAGTTGTCATGATGTTCTTCAATGTCTCTCTTCTCATTATTTGGCCAAAGACAGTGTTTGTCTCTATCTTATTGTTGTATATAGATATCGACTTTCATTAGCTTCTTTCAAACAATCGTTAATTACTCTAGCGGTCCAAGGTATTCCTAACATTCATCTCAGAAACCACATCTCTGTTGCTTCCAAATTCTTTTTAATTTTTTCACTGACATTCCAAGATTTGTTGCCATACAGCAGAACAGGTTTTATGCAACATTTTAGCATTCTCTTTCTAACATTAAATGAGAGCAATTTATTGCATAAGATATTTTTCATTTTCTGAAATGCAGCTTTTGCTTTTAATCTCTGTCACACATTTTCCATCTGATGATAGGATTATTCTTAGATATTTGAATTTATTGGCATGATTAAGTCTTTTTCCTTCAATTGAGATATCACATGCAGAGATATCACAACGTGGAGTTATCTTCTTCTTTGATATAACCATTACTTCCATTTTCTTAATATTCAATGAAAGTCCTTTCTTAGAACTTTACATCCCCACAATAGCCAGCAGTTGTTATAAATCAATCTGTTTTCCACTTTGATTGCGGCTACTTGGTTCCAGTAAATGTTTTTTTTATTATTCTGAGATCTTTCCATCAACATTGATGTGTTCCAACATTTTTATCATCTCTTCATGTTTAACTTTGTCAAATTCTTTGGTATAATCTATAAAGCACAAATATAAGTCTTTTTGTATGTCCATTGATCTTTCTGTCAGTGTTTATAATATGTATATTGAATTACCTAATACTACTGAATATTATGAAAATTAAAAATCCCTTTTCAATTTCCAGGTATTTGCAATCAGGTCACAACATACTTCCTCCATTTCTGTGCCAGTGAAAACCAAATGTAATGTCCCTTACTGTTGCATTAAAAAAACTGATGAAGAAACAATTAGTCCCAGCACAATCTAGAAATATGTGCGTACAGTAAATGCATAAGGCAGTTGCTAGATTCACCAAAGCTAACAGTACCCATCAGAAATGCAGTTTGTCATTGATGGAAATACTCAGTCACAGTGAGCTGACTACACACATGTAAAATACAGTTAAACCGAAGACATCTTTCTTCTGAAATAGGAAGAAAATGTTTTGTTTTCTTATCTTATTTTTTAATTTTACAGAACTGACATGTTTATACACGGAGAGGACATTTCAACAAATGAAGTCATCCCAGCAGAAAAGTTACTCAGGTTGGCATTTGTGATCTGTTTTGACACCTTTAGTACCACACAGCTGTACTAGGTTTACTGTATGTTCATTTGTAAATCTGTACATTACGGAATATCTGGGAAGTAAAGGCAGCTGGCGTAACTTTGACAAGACTACAAGAACTTCATGTACAGGTAGTCAAAGAAGAATAGTAAACCAACACAGGCTAATATTTTCAATTGTGACAAACTGAGGGTATACTAAAGATGGGATCCAAGCGCTTATGGGCTTGTCCAGTGTGCAGTGAGAATGATCAGTTCAATTAACTAACAAACCAACTAACTAAAAGCCAAAACATAAACATGGTCGTGTGTGATTAAATATACTGTGGTCCACATATAAATTTCTGTGCCCAAGGAAAGCGTAGAAATTTTGCTCTGTATCTATGACTATTCTTGTCCTTACCATGTCAGCGAAAAAGCCAATATATCTTCTGTTTTGACCTTTATCAATATTGGACCTTAGAATCTCTGCTAGCTCACACTGAGGAACCTTACTGTTGCCATCTCTTTCAGCCACGTCCATGCTGCCTCCAAAATATTCATCTGTCTCTTATTGTTTTATTCATATGTCTTCAAGTCTTCCTCTGCTTTTGTATTTTGCCCTTTGGATTCTTGTAAATAAATATCTTGTTTTTTAAGGCTTTTATTCTAGGGAAATGCGGCCGCTACTCACAACAAAATTTAAATTAAAAAAAAAATAGTTGCTGGTACTCATCATAAAGTATCTAATGCAGTGAAAGTATCTAATGCAGTAGCAATAAAACAAAAAGAATATTTTTTAAAAGAACTACAATAAATGCCAGTGCTGTGTACCATTGTATACCACAAGAAGAGAAGCCTTGCTATTATTAGATTTGTTCAATATGTATCCCATAAATAAATCAACACATATTTCATGTAAATCTGTGTTGCTTATGTAATTTTTTTCATAAGATATATGTAAAGCAATGTGTTATCTTCTTCTTCTTCTTCTTCTTCTTCTTCGTTCACCGGCTGTCAATTCCGGTGGAAGGTCATAGTTAATCGTCCACTTAGACTTTTGACTTCTACCTGGACCTGAGTTTTGTGTGTACAACCGTTTTACTGGCTTTGCCGTTTCCTGCCTCACAGGCAGATGCACTCCCACTTTGAGGGAAGACATCAGGCCTATTTCTAGGATGACTGTGGCCATTGTTTTGTGTGGGTCGAGATGTTACCTTATTTGTGTGGTGACCTCTTTGTCCCTTTCTCCACAGGTGTTGCCCCCGGAGTACCCCCTTTGGGACAGTCCTGTGTGGAACGGTTGGCCCTCAAGGGAAGGCAGGGGCAGATCATGGGCATTCCCGCCATCCAAGGAGGCTTCCATAAATGTAGAGCCATCACATAAAGCTCTGGTTCTTGGCTCTCCCAAGGAATCGTCACGTCCTGCATATAACTGCTTAACCGTATTAGGCTTCCCGCTCGACACAAGCTGCACCCTCCGGAGATCAGAGGGGAGCAGCCCTTGGGTTCTGGACTTTTGTGACCACACGAATAGGTACAATCTTTTTCATCGCACGATTGTCATCTTTAGCCTTCTGTTAGCACGACAGAATGGAGAATCATGCGTCAGGCATGTCTTTATCTGTTCAGACCCAACACTCGGGCGAGTGGGGTTTCGGGATGTGGATATTTGGACTTTTCCCAGTCAATACGATTTATGATGGTCGGATTTTGAGCTTGCTCATGTGCAGTAGGATCTATTTTTGTCAGACATTTGGGCTAAACCAGCCCATGGATGGTTGCTGTCTTGGTGTACCTCAGCGCAGTGGCGACGACACTGAGGGTTGACAGAGGATGTACATGGGTAGAATCTTGCTGCGAGATGCCACCCACAGGAAATGTTACTCGTCTGTGCTGCGGGTAAATCTCTAGGTCAAGGGTTAAGTCTCAGCAACACAATATACTCTCCACCCCACAAACTTTTAACTGAAGGTTGTCATTTTAGTTGTAAGTTTGGCAGGCACTTTACTCATGTTCCTAATGAGTTTTGATAAGCTTTTTCACCCGTATGTTTGGTCATATCAAGCGCCACGACAGATTTGAAAAAATTATAGCAGAAGGCATGGTACCAGGAAGGAGGGGCAGGGGCCGAACGACACGAAGATGGGCACAGGATATAAGTGACTCCTTGAGTATGAAAGTGCATGAGGCGGGAGAACTGGCGAGAGACTGAGTTTCTTTCAGGCAGACTGTGATGAGAGCGACGTTCTGCAAAGGACCTGCTACATGATGATGATGATGTTTGGGGGCGGGCTGATGAGAGCCACAAGGACACATCACCTCTGGGGGCCACCAAACTCTGAGATCCCCTGACAGCTCTGTTAATGCTCATTTGAGACATTATCCGTGGCGCACGACGAGGACCTGCTGCAGGAGTCTTGCGTGAGGTTCTGTAAAACCAGAACAGTGCAGGACTGGCGCGCGAATGACGTACGGAGTAACTCCTTATACACATCACGTTGGACTTAACTTTACCTCACGCCTGTGACAGAAATCACTGCGCCACGCAATGGGTTATAATGTTCAAGCATTTGATTACATTTGTAATTTGCATACAAATTCTGTTGAGCTATATGTTGTAGTAATGTTATATATTATACACCTTCATGTATTAATATACCTCTAATATACTTTTTTTTCTTTAGTATGATTGATCAGAAGAGCACATTACTTATGGATCTCCTTAATAACTACAACATATTGCAGATTGTAGTAAGTTTAACTTTGTGTAGTGGTTAAACTATTTTCTTTGCTTTTATCTGTAATAAGTGGTGTCTGTGCAGAATAGAAGGAATTAAATGGTATGACAGAATCACTAATCTGGGGCTTTGGGAAAGAACTAAACATATTCAGGTAAATTAAGAGGTCAGGAAAAGATGCTGATGTTGAATAGGACACAATCTGAGGACATTATAACTAGAATGTCTTTACAGTGAAACCCACAGAGGCATAGATAAAAAGGCAGACCAAAAAACACAAGGAGACGCTAGTTAGAGAGTAATTTTAGAAAGACTGGTAAGACACTGAGAGAGCTGCATGCAATAGCATAGGATGGGGCACTTTGGCATGGGTTGGTTGAGGGCCTGTGCTGCATTAGAGATATAAGGTGGAAAAAGAAAAAGAAGAAGTCAGTTTCCTCTAGCACTTGCCATTGTTTTCATGTAATTGTCATGGTCGTAATTGATGCATATTAAGATTTAACCAGTGGTGATTCAGCTAAGCGCTAATGGACCAAATATCATGTCTAATAATAGAACAAAAATTAAAATTTAACCCACTGACTATCAAGCGCAATAACCTTTGCACTTTCCCAGATGTCACATATTTTAGTATCGCTTAAAAATGTTTTAGTTCACAACTATTTTACATAAACTCATAATATTTATATTTTTGCACTAAACTGAATAGAAAACAAATTTCAAGAATAAAAACTGCATAATCTTGTTTGACATCATCATCATCATGTGGCTGTACATTGGTGGAAATAAAAAAGGCAATCAAAATTGTTTTTCTGACAGCAATATAAAGTAACAAAAAAAATGCCATAGCTTCACAACTTTTTAATACAAACTTATAATATATGGCATTTTGGCACCAAATTGAATGGGGAGCAACCTTCAAGAAAAAACATCATGTAATCGTGTTGACATCATCATACTGTGGCTGTAGATTGGTGCAAAAGAAAAAGGAAACCAATTGTTTTCTTCTGAAAGAAATATACACTAATAAAGATGCCAAAGTTTTACAACTCATAATATTTTGCATTTTCTTACCAAATGGAAGGAAAAACAAATTTCAAGAATAAAAAAGATTGCCAATATTGTGTTACATCATCATTATGAGGCTGTACATTGGTGCAAAAAAAGAATGCAAAAAAAAATCTTCAGACACCAATATAAGTAATGTATTTTTTTTTTTTTTACTTAAAAAATCCTTGATGAGAACTCTGCCTGACAGTGAAATAAAATTCTGCAAATTCAGTGGCTCTTTGCCATTGTGTACTAAGAACTTCTATAACAGTGTTAGTGAACTTTCAAACTAAAAAAAAAAAAAAACACACACACAAAAAACTATCTTTTCCCAAAACGTGCATCACAGAAATGGCAGCCTGGTAAAAGTTGTTGCATGATAAAAAGATTCTCACTAAACTCTAAGCTACACAACCATAATATACACAGTCAGTACTAACAGGCTTATCTAATCTAACAGTACACACATAAAGCACACACATGAAAAAATTTACACAAACTAATGTAACATAACAAACCTACCTCCACTGCTGTAATAAGCTACGTCTTTTTCCAGTTTCCATCATGTTATTGATAGCAGTTTATAAGTATTATCAAAGTCATACTCATCAAACAGTTCAGAAATATCTTCAACTTCACTTTCAGACTTAAAACAATCAAAACAGTATCCCACTGCATCATAAATATTCCCCAAACCCTTCCACCATGCCGACCTAATGATCAGCCCCATTATGAAAACATGTGCCTCATGCGTAATCGGCATGGAAGCTCACCTCCCAAAAAGAACTGTGGAAAATATACTTGACTCTTTATAAAAAAACATAAAAAAACTGAATTGACTACCAAAAAGGCTTCAACTATATTTATCACAAACCTCACGATTATAACATGACAGTGAGCATCCAGAGTTACAATCGCGGTGGCAGGGGGGTTGTGATCAGGGTAGCCAGGCATAAACATCGGTGGATTGCATAGCATGCATTCAAGGTAGTCAGTAAGTTAAACATTAAACAAAATTGTGTTTACAAAAAAAAATTATTTTGTTCTTATATTTAAAAATTAATATTTTCACTTTTAAATTTAACAGTTATCCAGGAGAGATAAAACAGCCAATGAGCTTCAAGAAAGGCTAAAGATGGCTCTCATTCTGGTCTCTGTGATTCTAGGTGCAATATGCATCATCTTGTCTGTGGTGCTTTGTTATATCTACACAAGGTATGGACATTCATTGGCTATAAATTGTTTATCCTGTCAATCATTTATATTCTAGTACACACGTAAAAGTAAAGGACCTTCTTCCATACCTTAAGACAAATTGGGTATATAGGGCTAGACCTATATTTTATAGCCCAAATGGCACTTAGTGGGTGATGTGGTCAGCATCTTGCTGGAGTACACATGTGTTCTGAATAATTAATGGACATCAATGAAAAGCATTTATGTAAAACTAATTACACATTTTTTTTCAATATTAGAGATAATAGTAGATCCATATTAGTTATTGCCATTGCAGTGTGAAGTATCTGGGAATTGAAAATTTTTTTTTTTAATGACAGTGGTCATCCTCACCCACTTAAGACTGCTGGGTACTCCTGGCTGGTGTCACCATTACGGGTGCCATAATTTTAACTTTTCTGAGGTTAAATGGGGTATCTGGATCTGACTTGCTGATCAAACAAACTAGTGCCATATCAGGTAGACTTATAGCTAGACCTTTTGGCCCTCAGTGGGTGATATGATCAACATCACCCCAGCCACCCTATGTCCCATGACATTACATGGTGGCCATTTTAGAAAGGGTTGGCCTGGGAGCCGAAATCAGTTTTGAAAAAAAAAAAATCTGACTCGATGTGGAATTGAAGCCAAGACCTTTGGTTTGGCAGTCAAACATGTGACCACTATGCTACCATGGCTGCTCCTGAAGTCTGAGATCCTTTACATATTCTAGGCCCTTAATACAAAATGTGATGGTCTGTTTTCTTCCTACCTAACTTTCTATCTAAGAAAATTATCTGGTATCTCTATAATTCTAATTGACTGGCTTAGTTTCAGAGCCTGTACTGTCAGAACAAAATAATCCTGCTTTCCCTAAAAAAAAACAACAGACTGACCACTGTCCATTATGGTTTCCTTGTAAATAGCCCCTGACTGATATACATAGAGACGCATATAAATTATTTCTTCTTCTTCTTCTTCCTCCTCCTCTGCTGCCACTGCCTCCTTTTCTCCTTCTCTTCTTCTTCTTCCTTCTCTTCTTCTTCTTCCTCCTCCTCTTCTTTCTTTTCTTCTTCTTCTGACATGGTATAGGCAGGACAAAAACATAGACCTTACCTAAGACTTCAGTGATCATGTGAGACAACGAACCATGAGTGCTCCTTTATCAGCGTTTCACTCAGTGATCATTATCATAATCCAAAACCCCTTTTTGGGCTTTACTGAAAATTGGACAGCTCTTTTTATATTTCTCAGGCAATAATCTTTTATTTATATTTGCTTCACAGTTACAAGAGAAAGCTGAAAGCTGCAAAGGCAATGGCCTATAGTAAGTACTTTAATTCAGTTAGCATGACTCTTTAGTTGAAACTAGCAATAATTGTTTACTTAAGCAACTAACAGTAATTGTTTACTTAAGCAACTAACAGTAATTGTTTACTTAAGCAACTAACAGTAATTGTTTACTTAAGCAACTAACAGTAATTGTTTACTAAAGCAACCAACAGTAATTGTTTACTAAAGCAACTAACAGTAATTTTTTTACTAAAGCAGCTAACAGTAATTGTTTGCTAAAGCAAATAACAGTAATTGCTTACTAAAGCAACTACCAGTAATTGTTTACTAAAGCAAGTTATAGTAATTGTTTACTAAAGCAACTAATAGTAATTGTTTACTAAAGCAGCTAACAGTGATTGTTTACTAAAGCAGCTAACAGTAATTGTTTACTACAGCAGCTAACAGTGAATTGTTTACTACAGCAGCTAACAGTGATTGTTTACTAAAGCAGCTAACAGTAATGGTTTAAAAAAGCAAGTAATAGTAATTGTTTACTAAAGCAATTGACAGTAATTGTTTACTAAAGCAACTAACAGTAATTGTTTAATAAAGCAAATAACAGTAATTGTTTAATAAAGCAACTAACCATAATTGTTTACTAAAGCAACTAACGGTAATTGTTTACTAAAGCAACTAACAGTAATTGTTTACTAAAGCAACTAACAATAATTATTTACTAAAGCAACTAACAATAATTGTTTACTAAAGCAACTAACAGTAATTGTTTACTAAAGCAACTAAAGCAAACAGTAAATGTTTACTAATAATTGTTTACTAAAGCAAATACTAATTGTTTACAATAATTATTGTTTACTAAAGCAACTAACAATAATTGTTTACTAAAGCAACTAACAGTAATTGTTTACTAAAGCAACTAACAGTAATTGTTTACTAAAGCAACTAACAGTAATTGTTTACTAAAGCAACAAAAAGTAATTGTTTACTAAAGCAACTAACAATAATTGTTTACTAAAGCAAATAACAGTAATTGTTTACTAAAGCAACAAAAAGTAATTGTTTACTAAAGCAACTAACAGTAATTGTTTACTAAAGCAACAAAAAGTAATTGTTTACTAAAGCAACTAACAGTAATTGTTTACTAAAGCAACAAAAAGTAATTGTTTACTAAAGCAACTAACAATAATTGTTTACTAAAGCAATTGTTTACTAAAGCAACTAACAGTAATTGTTTACTAAAGCAACAAAAAGTAATTGTTTACTAAAGCAACTAACAATAATTGTTTACTAAAGCAACTAACAGTAATTGTTTACTAAAGCAACTAACAGTAATTGTTTACTAAAGCAACTAACAGTAATTGTTTACTAAAGCAACCAACAGTAATTGTTTACTAAAGCAACTGCTTTACATATGTAAACTATGAAGATGGCTTGTATCATTTCTTTCATTCTGATTGCTCTGTCAGTTCCTACGTATAATAATTTACAAATAATAACGATCCCTTGTTGTTTTATGTGTTTTTTTTTTTTAAATATCTCTTACTGAAAAATATGTGTGGATGTATGTCATTGTTAGTGTGGGATTCATACATATATACATATATGCATTTCCTATGATACTCTGTTTAATTGTCTTCATCATGTGTTTTTATCTTTGACCCCCCCCCCCCCACCGCCCCCCAGATTTTGTTTTGAATCTACAAGGAGCATGGGGTTGTCATTATTTAAAATATTTAAAATGTTTATAGGTAGAGAGAGTTGTGTCAGCACACGAACTGATATATGCTGCAGGAGATCGTGGATTGTGGAAAGACATGAACGCCCACGCCAGTCGGCAAGGCACCTGATGATGATGATGATGATGTGTAGAGAATGCAGTTTGAAGAAAGAACTCCATATAATATTTAAAATAGCCCCTTTCTTTTATGTGCAGATACTTCTTCTTCTTAGTGTTCACCAGCTATAAACTCTGGTGGAAAGTACTGGTTGTTTGTCCACTTCTTAACTTCAGTCTTGTTCCAGTTTGATTTTTGTGTGCACATTCGTTTTACAGATCTGGCTCATTTATATGCAGACTGTTGGTTCCTCACCTCTCAGGCACTGAAGGAAACACCCTTAATTAATCATCTTTTATGACATGCTTGTTGGTTCAGTAACTCACACATGTAAGATTCAGGTACATAATGCAACCATAAATTTCTTAGCAAAACCAAAACAGCTGAAAAATGCTTGGGTTGGTTCTACAACATTCTACAAAGGATATGGAAATAACTTCAAAAAATGCAACATATTTAGTAGTAGTTTAATTTATCAGTGGTTTGACGAATAATGAAAAACAATTGAATAATTTTACAATACATTTTTTTTTAACCAGTCAACTCAGGAGTTGGTAAGTATACACTTCACTATTAGGAAACTCAGATATAAACTGTGTGTGTGTGAGTGAGTGTGTGTGCATGTGTGTGTGCATGCGTACATGTAAGAGAGAGAGTATGTGTATGAATGAGAGAAAGAGGGAGAATGTGCAAATAGAAATTGTGTTTGCTTGATATCATTTCACAGAAACTGTTTTTGAGATTTTTGTGTGACAAAGTGTGTGTTAAGTTACTATCTGTGACAAAGTGTGTTGAACTACTATCTGTGACAAAGTGTGTTAAACTACTATCTGTGACAAAGTGTGTTAAACTACTATCTGTGATAAAGTGTGTTAAACTACTATCTGTGACAAAGTGTGTTAAACTACTATCTGTGGCAATGTGTGTTAACCTACTATCTTTGACAAAGTGTGCATTAAGTTACTATCTGTGACAAAGTGTGTTAACCTACTATCTGTGACAAAGTGTGTTAACCTACTGTCTGTGACAAAGTTTGTTAACCTACTGTCTGTGACAAAGTATGTTAACCTACTGTCTGTGACAAAGTTTGTTAACCTACTGTCTGTGACAAAGTGTGTTAACCTACTATCTGTGACAAAGTGTGTTAACCTACTGTCTGTGACAAAGTATGTTAGCCTACTATCTGTGACAAAGTGTGTTCACCTACTGTCTATGACAAAGTGTGTTAACCTACTATCTGTGACAAAGTGTGTTAACCTACTGTCTGTGACAAAGTGTGTTAACCTACTCTCTGTGACAAAGTTTGTTAACCTACTGTCTATGACAAAGTGTGGTAACCTACTGTCTGTGACAAAGTTTGTTAACCTACTGTCTGTGACAAAGTGTGTTAACCTACTATCTGTGACAAAGTGTGTTAACCTACTGTCTGTGACAAAGTATGTTAGCCTACTATCTGTGACAAAGTGTGTTAACCTACTGTCTATGACAAAGTGTGTTAACCTACTATCTGTGACAAAGTGTGTTAACCCACTATCTGTGACAAAGTGTGTTAACCTACTGTCTATGACAAAGTGTGCGTTAAGTTACTATCTGTGACAAAGTGTGTTAACCTACTGTCTGTGACAAAGTTTGTTAACCTACTGTCTGTGACAAAGTATGTTAACCTACTGTCTGTGACAAAGTTTGTTAACCTACTGTCTGTGACAAAGTGTGTTAACCTACTATCTGTGACAAAGTGTGTTAACCTACTGTCTGTGACAAAGTATGTTAGCCTACTATCTGTGACAAAGTGTGTTCACCTACTGTCTATGACAAAGTGTGTTAACCTACTATCTGTGACAAAGTGTGTTAACCTACTGTCTGTGACAAAGT